TATTCACAATGTACCTGTAAATACACATGCATGTACCATAAAATGTACATTACTGAACTTAAGATTTTCCATAGAAAAAGCATTACTGAACTTTTTTTTAACTTAAAATATTTTTGTCAAGTCAAATAATATAATTTTCCTATAGAAGTAGTGCAAAGGAATTTTGATAAGTTTTCAAATAACTCAGCAGTGATTTTTTAGGGTGAATTTAGGGCGTTATACTTTCAGGCCCCTTCATCTATAAAGGTAATTTCTGCTATGTTTTCCCAAAAACAATGAAAAAATCACTTCATTTTTCCAAAATCATGATTTTTTATGTGTGATCTTTCCCAAAGTCACAAGGCACAGGCCCTAGTGGAAGGGATGAGGAAAACTTGAGAACATGTATGGAACTTGGACAAGCACAGATTTCTTTCCCTTTCTAAAGACTAGCTAGAGCTCATGGATAATGAATAAAGAATATTGTACAAAGATATGAGAAATAAAAGAATACAACTTTTTACTTTGATTTTAGGTGTGAAAATGCTTGCATATTGTACATCCCTCAGAACTGTCATCTGAAGTATAAGATGACAAAAAAATAATTATAACTTTCAGCGGAAATGTTGCAACGTGCACTATGTGATGCCTGCAGGGGAAGTAACTCTTCTCTGCCCATTAGCTATAGATAAGTGATTAATCACTACACTCACCTGTCAGATTCTTACCTGTACCTTGCAGTCACATGTGTAATTGACTCATTTGACGTGGCAAGACTGTTCAGCCAAAATCCCACACATGAATCTCATTTTGACAATTTCTGTCTCATGCTGTGTCATTTGGTGCTAACTGTAACAGGTGTCATTGTCTTATAGAAGATATGCTAGACAGCTTAATGTTATTTCTGACCAGGGCCTAGCTGACATGACCATTGACCGATTTGGAAACACATCTGGGATATTTTGTAGTGCAGACACATCAGATAAGATTGTGTGTTCAACATCTGGGCAATGTTGTGTGGATTTCAGACATGGAAATTTTGATTCAAAAAATTGTAAACAGATGTCCAATTGACCACGAATAAATGGAGGAGAGCTCTTAAAATTTAAAACGCATTTCAGGATTTATCAAGAGTGCTTGTTCAGCTGTGCTAAGTCCGCCCCAATATATTGGATTATTGTCAAAGAAAACAAATATCAAAGCAAATGTGATAATAGGATTTATTGACTTAAGTGATAAGAAGGTATTTTGTGAATGATTTGTCTTTTGACCAGCGATATCTCAAATATTACTGTATTCCTAACAGTAATAAACGTAGCTATCTATTCTTGATTAAAACAAAACTAGATAGTGGTATTGTCTATTCAGGTGAAAGCGGATATATGCTATTTATAGCATTGTGTAAGAAATCTAGTGATAATATTTGCTGAACAATCAGATTTCATTGGATGGAATTTCCGGGGTCAGAAATCATGTGTACCTGTGTGTGATGTTACAGCTGATTGTGGCCCATATCACTTCCTGTTATATGATGGGACAGTGTTAACAGGTCAGGCATGTTGGAAGTCACCTGTGGAACAAAGGTTACGTGACATATATGTTAAATATTGACATTTTGCAAAATTGGTACATTCTTACGGTACAGAAGTATGGATACATTGCAGACGGTAATGTAAACAATAGCCTGTTCAAAATTTCTTAATCGACAATTCAAAATCAGGAAAACTAAATTTAAATGACAGATATTTATTTTTTTCAAAAGTAATCTGTGGTTTTTTTCCGAACAAACTGATACCAGTGATTGCAAAGCAATTTTAAGAAACCTTGAAACTGAAACTGAGTTGAAATCAGTCATGTCATGGAAAGATATTAAAAGATGACAGAAAATAACAGAAACAAATCATTGGGATCAATTACTAATGAAACGGGGGACCAAATTGATCACCAGGATTGCAATATTGACGAACTCAACTACGAGGCGAATATCAGCGAAGCCGATAACTATCTCCGATTTCTACAGCTAACCCACCATGATGGGTCACAGTCCGATGACGAAACTGGTGTCTTTAACGCCGGAGATCTCGACGGATACATTGAGGACGATATAATCGGGGAAATGCCCCGAGCTGAGGAAGATGTAGATTCTGATTATGATTTTGGGCTCTCAGATCTCACAGAAGCAGGTAGTGGTATCTTATCAATAGTCTTGATAGCTCGCCATTTAAAATAATAATTTGAAGCAATTTATTTAGACTATCATCATCAGATGCTGGGATGTTCTGATTGCATTTCATCCTTGGTCCATATTGTCTGTTCTTAAACAATTACGTCTGCTTTACGAGAAGTACTGGACCGGAGTTTCTCAAATTTCATATGTAGGTTCCTCTATAAGTCTTTTGTTGTGTATGTTTACTTTTTGAGACAGATTGCTAATGGGACATTTAATTTTTGGGATTTTTTTTATATTTTTTCATTTGACACTTTTATTACTCATTGACACTTAATGTTCATTCATTTTCTACTCTGTTACATACATCTGACACTACATGTGTGTTCATTTGGCTCTGTTATCAATTATACTTTATGTTTATAAAATTATTCAATAGTAAAACTGTTGACGTTGATATTTTTATAATCCTGGATGTAATTCATTGGAAAGAAAAGTTTGAACTTGATGTATTTCAAAAACATTTTATGTATAAGAATGAAGATTATAGGGTAGGGCAATTCCAACGGAGGGGTTTTCAATATAACCAGAGGCTTTGCCATGGGTTTTGCCAAATTTGAAAATCTTGTGGGTGGAATTTCCCTATCCTACACCCTTGGGCATGAAAGAGTATTTTTCTCTCATTCCAACTACCAGAATAAGCCCAGAAACCATGAAAATACGTTTGGACAGGCAAACATTTTGAAAATATCAATTTCTCCTTAGCTTTTTTTACGAAAACAAATCTTATCAGCGAGATTTAACATACCCCATAGTTGCAAACATAGTTTGCACAATAAAAATAATCTCATCTTTTCTTACTTGTATGACTAATACCAGGTATGTTGTAAAAGGTTTTATTTTCATCATGTCACCTTTTCCGTATAACGACGGCATCAGGTTTTTCCAAATTCATGACGTCATTTCATTGTTGAGCAATTGTGACATCACGTCACGTGAAATGGGGGGTAACCTAGAAATTTCTTACACCCCTTTCTTACCCTGGACAGCTCTATCTTACACACACAGAAACAAGAGGATATTTCTTACATCCCTAACTTTTCCTACCCTGGACAACTTTATCTTACAGTCACGGAAACAAGAGGAAATTTCTTACACCCCTTTCATACAAGGAAATCAGAGAAAAAGCTTTTCATAATACTACTCCATGTATAAGTGAAGGTATTGTTCCCAGTATAGAGGACAGAGACCACTGTAGGCTTATCTAGATTTATACATGTACAGGGAAATATGTTGTGTACTATATACATTTGTGTCTGTTAGGACACAAAATGGCCCGGAGCTTTCACCATACAACCATAGCTAGCATTAGATATTTTGTAGTTCAGTGACCACATGATCGGGACAGTATTTACATTAGTAAAAGACCTTAGTACAAAACGTCTGTTGATTAAGCCGTCTCTTGTGGACACTTAACCCATTCACCCCTAAAGTCACATTTGAACCTTACCATATCAAAGACTGGACAAGTCCAGTTTAAATATGTAGGTGTGGATGAGTTAAGGTACATGTCCTCGAGGTGTTTTTTTACTCCATCCACAGATTATATAACGGCAGATTTAAATTTAAAACGTCCTTGTTGCTAGGAGTCATCTTACAAAAACGGGCAGAACAATGTAAATTTCGTGGGGTAAAAACTCTTGAAATTTCATGTTGTCTGCGTGCATCATTTGAAGTTGTACAAAACGCATATTATTTGGGCCCTTGGAGCCCATTCAGATCGAGGTGCATAATATAGAGATGACAAGTACAGCAAGTCTCACGAAATATTGCATGTCAAGATTGTTAAGATAACAGGTTTTTTGTCAGTGACGAGATTGACTGCATTCACCCTGCTGTGTAGTCTGATTGGGACACTGTGATCACAGATCAGGCAGATTGACTGATACGACATAGTCGGTGCATTCTTTCCCTGTCTGTAAAGTTTAGCTCTGTGTGTCAGCGGCTGCGTAATAAGTATAGGTATTGTCATTTCACAGAGAGAGATATATAAGTAATTAATCAGAGGATGTGTGTAAATGGCATATACCAGTGTTAGAACCTAACTCATTCATCCCTGAAATTTCATAACGAACTTTTCCGTCCTTTGACTCGGAGGAGTTCAAATGCGTCTTCAGGTGTGAATTAGTTAATTACGATAAGACCCATATATACAATCACCATGAACAAGACTGTAGGTCTATGGGAATAATTTACTTCAAAGACCAATCGTCTACAACATTGTTCCCTGCGATGTGTTTGATTCATTTATAATGTTGTAATTACGGAAAGTTTTCTGTGAAATTACTTTCCTTCCTTTATCATAACGCATCATACATTAATTTCATGATATCAAGAACGGTATTTAAGTAAAATTTTCTTGGGTAAGGTCTGATCTCTTAAAATTGCATGAGTCTGTATTCTATAAGAAATCTGTATAACATAGTTATATTGCCCCATTTTCTATGGTTTGTTAATTCTAAATTCAAAGACTGAGTACTGTAAAGTTGTTTAAAATGTTGCTGGGTTAAAATTTCCGATTTTGCGTCCGGAACTTATTCACGGAATCACAATTTCAATAAGTCTTCTTCGGAACACCTCGTAAGTTTTACAACAATCATGAAATATATTTTTTCAAGTGATATTAATATCTCTTGTTGGCTAGATGGTAGCTCGCATGGGGTCTTCATGTTAGAGGAAAACGGCATACCTGGAGAAAACCCAACTGGTCAGGCAACGGTATATTAGTGTAGTAGACTACAGAAATAATTACCCAAAAAAAATAAAAATCTTAACTATATATATTTTGTTACAGATGAACACATGATGTATGACAATCTCGAATCACCGACATTTGAGACGGTAGAGGGTGTCGATGGAGCAGTATCGGAACAGCCTCAGGCATTACAGAACCCAGAGGAGAGGGAGCGAGAAATGGAAGAATACAGGAGAAGCCTCGAAATAGTAAGTATCATATTTATCCAGTAATAAGCCCATGCCTGTTTATAAGCCCACCCATATATACTGTAATTCAGTAGAAATGCCAACAAAATCTATTTCATTGTCCTATAATAAGCCCACCCTGTTATTTTGAGTTAGAGGTTATAATGCGTTCGCCCCATAGGCTTATTATAATTCATTGTCCCTGAAATTTCATAATGAACTAAATACCAACCTTTGAATTGGAAGGGTTCAAATGTGTCTTCAGGGGTGAATGAGTTAAAAGATAAGTATGTATACAGTAGTTTGTGTAGATTTCAGGGAAAGATAATGTTGAATAGGAAGTTTCAAAAAATGTAAAAAAAAAAAAGTCAAATTCTTACAAGAACATCCCTTTGAAGCAAATAAATCTTAGAATTATCTACTAACTGTCGTCTTCTTGCAGGTTGAGGGAGAAATCGCCACATTACGTCAAGTTTTAGGATCGAAGGTCAGATATGCCTCAGAACTGAAAAGAAAAATGGGAATTACTCCTTTCCAGGAGCTTAAACAAGACCTTCACTATGGCTTCAAAACCATCAAAGAGTCAGATACGTAAGTGTCTTCATGGTCAATCAAACTCTTGTTGTCTCTGAATTTTCTCCAGTTGCTCAAGCACTTTTTCTTCCTCTATGAATTTTCTTCAATGGTAGCCTGTCTGTTTATCTTTTTTTGACAAAAACTTTTCATATAATTACCGATATGTTCCATTTATTCCGTATATCTATCAATTGCATAATCAAAGTTTTTGTCTGTATGAAATGACAAAGAAACCATCGCATTAAATAACTAACACCTAACTGGCGTCATGTGCACCAACTTGATCCAGAATAAACCATAGGCTATGTGTCAAGTCCCTCATGAAAACAATTCAAAGCTGTAGATTTTAATGCCAGTGATTACTATTTAAAAATTCGCTTTTCTTTGTCAAAAGACAGAAGAGAGATTGTTATTGGTAACAAAGTTGGAAAAAAGAGGCTGTCAGTTATTACAAAGATCTTAACCCTTTCACCACTGTAGACCATAATGGACTCATCCATATCAATGCATGGTAGAGTCTACTCAAGTTACACAGGGGGTGAAAGGGTAACAACTCCTTAGCAAATAGATCGGTCTGTCTTAAGAATATTATTACTTTCTTCAGAACAAAAGTCCTTAATTTTTCAAGTTCAATTTATTTCTGGTACAGGACTGGTCCGGATCATCTAGATCTACACCAGACTCAGATTTGAAAAAAATACATTTCGGAATAAAACGTTACCATTTCACTGGTAACTTTAGTAGACTCTACCATGCATTTATATGGATGAGTCCACTATGGTCTACAGTGGTGAAAAGGTTAATAAGTTAAATCATTACATAGGTTACTTGCCAAGATACTAATGTAGCTTATGGAACTATTCCTTTGATTATTGATCAAGTTCTGTTTAGTTAGGGCAGCAAATAAACTTTTAAAAATGTAAGCTCTTCATGAAGGACATCATATGAAAGTCAGCAGTCATTATGGTCAAACATAAGAAATTCAGCACACATTATCATAACATCGTCCTGGTAAAAACAGTTCCTGCTTTGGCAGGCTTTAATGCAATGTTGTCAATTATGTTGTTTAGATAGTTTAACTCATTCACCCCTGGACTTTCATAATGAACTATTCCAACCTTTGAATTAGAAGAGTTCAAATGCGTCTTCAGGGGTGAATGAGTTAATATTTAAATATCTGTATGTTGTAATAGTTTTCATTCCTTTTTGACATAAGCTCATTTTCTTTTCCTTTGAAATAAAATACTTTTTTTTGTGTATTCTAAATTATGAATGTGTAGTGCATGAGTTCTAATTTAAAAAATAATTAGTTGATATGAGATACTGTTAATTTTTGTAAGAATCATTTAAGAGAAGAAGTTTTATTATTTTTAGCATTCTGCACTAAGCATTAGTTCTCAGCACATTTTTTGGTGTTTTTCATTGTGTTAGTGTTGTGAAGACAAATGAAAAGCTGACTAATGTCAAAGAAAGAATAACTGCCTCAAATGCGTAAGTTTTTCTCCTGATTTGCGGGTTTTGTTTTGTGTGCCTGTATTAACCAGTGGGTACTTTGTCTAAGTTCTGTCTTTAGAGAAACAGTTGCTTAACGTGCTCTTCAGTTCTGTATTTAGTTGATTCTGTTGTCCTTTAAAAGTTGTACAATTAACTAAAAATTAATTTTGTCTATTGGTATGCTGTAAAAACAAAATTAACGTTTTCTTTTAAGGTTAAAAATTCTGCTATTATTTCAAGTTGATTAGACCTTTTTAACTCCTTCACCCTTGAAGTCACATTTGAACCTTACCAAATCAAAGACTGGGCAAGTCCATTTTCAAAATGTAGGGGTGAATGAGTTAAAGTAGAGGGTACCATTAAGTTCAAACATATTATCACCACTGTCACAATCATGAATCATGAAATAGTTCTTCTCTATAAAATTGTTCAATAACAATCACATCTCAAAAATGTAGTTCACAGAATTATAGTTGTAGGAAAATTTAAGCACTTGACAACAAATATAAACAAAATGAAAACACTCCCTACAGGGACAGAGCTAACATGACCGGCACACTGTCAATCCTTTACTGATCCAAAGCATAAAAATGAAAGATGATCAATACCATGACAAAAGAACTTATTTTAAGCCAGAAAAAAATCCTTTTTTGTTGCAACATCGATGTATAAAAGGGTACTCCCAAGTATAAAACATTTCAGCTCTGAAATGGCTCTCTTGATGATACTTGGTTGTAATTATCAACCTGAGATTGGGACCAGAATTTGTACTCAAAAGGGGTCTGGCCCTTCAGGGGCGTGAGTGGTAAATGTGTCAAATCCTCAGACCCTGACATGCTAGAATCAAATCCTTCTTTTGGATGGAAAGGTCCAAAGGTGCTTTATCAAACTTGTGAATTTCTGTACCCTTTGGTGTGGGTCAGCCATTCTCCTCACTTCTTTTCTGAGAAATGGAACTCTTCGTTGTGGTTATAAGTGATAAAGTGGTACCCTTAAATAACTCATTGACCCCTGAAATTTCATAATGGACTATTCCAAGCTTTGATTTCGAAGGGTTCAAATCTGTCTTCAGGGGTGAATGAGTTGAGGTAATTTCTGGAGAAAAACTCACATTGAAATACTTTTAGCTACATATAGGATAAAATTGGAACTAAAAGAAACACACCATGAAACCTACATAGATATACACAGAGCTGACATACATTTTGGCTTATTTGATTGGTTTGGATTTTGTTAACATCCTAAAGTGTTTTTGAATTTTTCTAACATTTAACTTTTTGATAGATTAGATGTCGTTTTTGTTTCATTTTCATGAATATGTCTTATATATATTATACATATATCTCTGCCGATGCATGACTGATTCGGTGGGGTCTATTCTCTATATATATTATACATATATCTCTGCCGATGCATGACTGATTAGGTTGGGTTGTTCTCTATCCGTCTCTATGTTTCTTTGACGTCAATAATCTAACAACTAAAACAATTACTAAAACAATTATATACTGTTACTTTTTATATAAGATGGCACCTTTAACTCAATCACCCCTTAGGACACATTTGAACTCTTCCAATTCAAAGGTTGGAATAGTTCATTATGAAATTTCAGGGGTGAATGAGTTAATATTTGTGTATAATTTGTGGGTGACCAAGAAATGAAGGTGCCCTATAATAATTATCCATTTGTCTCTCTGACTGTCTATCTGTCTGTCCCTTTGTCCATATACTTTTAATTTTGGAGATTATCTCAGAATTCCAAGAAAAATTATCTTTTTGAAATTTGACATGCTGATACAATGTGATATGTAGATGTTGAATAAGAATTTTTTAAAGTTTCTACAAATAAGGTTATTTACTAAATATAGACTTTGAGGTTGGGTGAGGGTGCAGGGGAGGGGCATTATATGGTCAGGCACATGGATTATAGGGTCCTTTCCTAACATTCTGTATTCTAGTTTGGCAAGTTTTCTTTTGAATTTTATTTCACATATTTTTATGATGTACTAGAAAAATAACCCCAACTCTTTCCATAGCTTCAGTAATGAAATATTATCCTGAACTTTAATGGACCCTAGGTTTAATTTAGTTTACACGTATGTCCCCTGCTAAAAAAGGCTATTTCAAAGTTAATCAAAAGAGAATTGTTAGCTGGGACCAATATTGAAACAACAATCAGAACTGGTGATAATGTTATAAACGGTTCTTATATACCACTTTATCACAACCTAGTTCGTAGGTCGTCTCAAATTGACTCACAAATTATTATCCGTGGTTAAAGGGCCTTTGCAACCAGCCAACATCTTGCTCAACTCCCTGGGGAGCATACAGCCGGTGCTGCCATTTCGGCGCTAATAGCTAGCATTCAACAATTCTAGCACTGCCCAACCACGTACTCATTTACAGCCGAGTAGATTGGAACAAGCGGAGTAAAGTATCTTGCTCAAAGATACAACACAGTGCCGTGCAGTGACTCGAACCAGCAACAATTCGGTCACGAGCCTGGTATCCTACCACTAGACTTAACCGTGCCACCACATAAATACATAAATAAATACTACATTATCTAGATCTGAAGAATATTAATCAATATTCTAAAATACATACATACTAAATACAGGCAATTTGCATAAATTTTATTGATTATATAATATCAGATTTTAATCATTTATTCATTTTGAAATTGTGATTTAATATTAGAAACAGTAGTTTAATTAATATACATTTAGCTTTATACTAAACCTATGAGAGAGACTTAACTGTAGGTATTTAACTCATTCACCTCTGAAGACACATTTGAACTCTTCCAATTCTAAGATTGGAATAGTCCATAACGAAATTTCAGGGTTGAATGAGTTAACTAGATAGTGATACATACAAACTCTCCCAAGGAAGGAGGCTCTCTGATTTTTGGCCCAAAAATTGAGTATCTTCAACCAGTGAATTTGCAAAACTTTTTCTGTTTTTTAAGATTTGATGATTGCATCTAAAAGAACAACTAAAAATATGTCTTTTAAAGTGGTATGTTCCCCCGGGAGAGTATTTAGACACATTTTATCTTTGTTTTTAATTTAGAGTACCCATGGACATTTTAAAAAAAGTTGCCAAGTATATATAAAGATAGTTGTTCAAGGTTTTAGTCAAACATAAGCAGCTACGGTCTCATATACAGGCGTGTTATCTTAACATTTGATACACAAAAAAGAAAGGATAGCTTCAATTTTGAATTTACAGAGAAATTGATTTTTAACTTTTAGTTTTCCCTGAACACAATTTCTCTGTAAATTCAAAATTGAAGGTATGCAACTTTAGAAGACTCTCCCATGCATTGATCTGGATGAGTCCATTATGGTCTATAGTGGTGAAAGGGTTGAAAATGAAAACATTGATTTTTAACTTTTAGTTTTCCTTGAACACAATGTTTTCATTTTCAACCCTTTCACCACTATAGACCATAACGGACTCATCCAGATCAATGCATGGGAGAGTCTTCTAAAGTTGCATAGGGGTGGAAGGGTTAAAGTCATGGTGAGAAAAAAAGAAAACAACACTAAAATCTGCTGTCGTATCTTGCCAGCAATTCATGGTATGAAATTTAGTTCATTTGTATGCGTTGTCATATGCTGTGTTTAACATTTAAATGGAGGTAATCAAAATAGCACTTGCCTCAAAAATCAAATGTCTTACATAGTTTCAATGTGCTCCTATCCTGAATATATTGAATAAATAAAAGACATTATTCAATATTTGAGTGTGGTTTCAATGTGGATCATGTATTCTTATCCCGAAATATGTTTTGATAAAAAAACAGACATTTATTTTTCACAACATTCACGAAACAAGTTTTATGAAGTTTTATGTTAACTGCTGTTGTTGACCTAAAAACAAGTTTAAATTCATTCTCGTTGGACAGAAATGTAGAGTACAGGGGGGTATTAATGTGGGAGGAAACTGGAGTACCCGTAGAAAACCCATGTGTTCACGCAGGTGGTCCAACACCTGTTCATGTTGAATTGCTTAATGCACAATCCACTGCAGCCACTTTTTATGAGGATAAAGAAGAGTGATGCCTGTCATGCTATTGCTATTGTGATTATTCCGTCTTTGCGTATTGCAGAGTTATCTTCTCTTGAAAGCAGATATTGATTGTTAACGTCATTGGTTTGTGTGAGAAAATTACGTCGTTTTCTCAAAAATTGATGACGTTACTCTCACAAACAAATGACGTAACAATCAATACCTGCTCTCAAGAGAAGATAACTCTGCCCTAACTCTGCCCATCAACATTCATGTTGTTTTGATCGTGCCTTCTCGTATTTCGACACGTTTGTGTCTTAACTTCATTAAAAGGATGGGATACCAGATGTTGCCATCATGTTATTAACAGACCACAAGCAAATTGCATGAAACGTATATTTTACACTTATCTAGATATTAACACTCATTCGCCCCAGAAGACACATTGGACTCTTCCAATTCAAAGATTGGAATAGTTGATCTTGAAATTTCAGGGGTTAATGAGTTAACCCTATAATGAGCCTGGTCCCTAGGAGATGAAAAATGTGGAGGATCAATAGTAGGTCGTTTTTTTTTCACGATTCCAATTACACCATCTTTATTGCAGATATCAAAAGACTAACGAAAAACTGGTTGAAATGAATGATAAGATTACTCATTCTCAGGCGTAAGTATAGATACTTACCATCCAACTTGGCATGAGAATGCGAAACTGTTATTAATCGCACCAAGCTGGCATTATATTGTACTCGCTGTACTCTCGTTCAGGGAGAACTTGGTACTAGATTGGGGCATGAAGACCCATTTATTTATTGTCTGTGTTAGTTTGTAACTTGTTTGTTTTACTCTAGCTGTGGGTAACCGTCTAATATAACAAACTAATCTTCTCACCCACCGCGCCAGCCATTTTAAGTTTTCAAAATGTGTACCGGTAATTTGTTGTTTCTATGGCCCTTGATTGGTGAGCAGCCTTTCTGATCGGCTCCAGAAAAAAATATAAAAAGTCATTTTTCAGTTATTAACAAACATCAATTGCAAATTCAAATATCTTTTTGTTTTGAAAATGTTAGAAATATCTATCTCATATTTTGTTCCTATTAGAAGTTTGTATACTTGTGATATATATTCACAACAACACTATTTTCTTTTGGGCTATTTCCTGATATTGGTAGGATAATGAATAGACAAAAAATTTGTAAGAGTGTTTGCAATTGCTGCTGAAAAAAGATTAATTACTAATATTTTTTGCGTTTCCATTTATTTTTTAAGAACATGAAAAAGAGGAAAAGAAAGATAATTGTTTCTCAAATAGAATACAGTACTTTGAATATTTTCTATATTTTTTTTACTATTTTTTTTTTACTACAGCATTTAAAAGATGAAAAGTAGGACATTAGATTTACGTGTGCGGTAAACACACAGCTTAATCAATCTTTTGTATTTCACAGAAGTCTTGCTTATATACAACATATGTATGGTGTAAGTTTGTCTATATATAGGCATGATAACATTCAGTTTCTTATTTCAACCTGCTGTCCACTAATCATTTGCTTTCTTACATATAAAGTAGGACTCTGTTTTTATAAACTCAAAATTCTTAAACCCTTTCCCCACTGTGGACCATAATGGACTCATCCAGATCAATGCATGGTAGAGTTTACTAAGGTTACATAGGGGTGAAAGAGTTAATGCCTCATTTATCTTAAGAGTTATTCTGGATCGTCTTATTAGTTTGATAAAGGCAAAGTTTGTTTTGAACACAAAAAACTTGAAATTGAAAACTTAATTTGTGAACTTTCGAAAACGTCTCCTTACCTTTGCCAAGCAAAGAGTGAAATTGAAAACTTATTTTGCGAGCTTTCGAAAACGTCTTGTTTCTGTTGCGAGCAAAGACATTTTGGAAAGCTCACAAAATAAGTTTTCAATTCCTGTTTGTGTTCAAATCAAACTTAGCCTTTATGATTCATACCAAACTAATGAACCTTATTCCTTCTATTAGTTTATTTCTATGCTTTAAGTCTCTAATAAAGCTTTCAAAAAAACACCTTGCCCTTTTTTGCCATGGGCCCAGTGACTCCAGTGGAGTCTTTGTCAGGTACCAACGGATATTTTGATGAAGAAATCAACAATGGCAATTCTTTGCTGAATATTTACTAACTTGTGTTTAGATGTTTACCATTTCTTTCCTTTCCTTTATAACAAATAACCCTTCCTCATCCTGATGTAAGAATCATCAATATCAAGCATGTGCCCTGCTGTAATCAAGTTAAACTTCAAGTACAATTATCTCCCCTTATTTGTTCAAGTTCATTCATCTCCCCTTATTTTATCAAGTTCAGTTTATCTCCCCTTATTTTATCAAGTTCAGTTATCTCCCCTTAATTTATCAAGAACAATTATCTCCCCTTATCTTATCAAGTTTCAGTTATCTCCCCTTATTTTATCAGGTTCTCTTATCTCCCGTGTGCTGGTTAATAAATGATTGATGGTTGAATTTTATCAAAGAAATTTTATTTTATTTTTTATTTATTTTTTACTGCCCTGACCAGTCCATTTTTTTTTTTTTTTTACTGCCCTGACCAGTCCATTTTACACTTAGGAACAACATTCTTTGAAATATCAATCTTTAAAAGTTTATGAAGTGGAGCAAAATATATTTCTACTTGTATTAAAGTGTTTTGTCGCCTTGATAGATATCACGACAGTGGTATCAACAGATGAGCATGGCGTTACCTTCCTTATACTTGATAGCCTTGAATGGAGACCAGCTGACATACATGATATTATAATGTTTACCTGAAATCTTTTCACCTGAGTCCTTCCATGATACTGTCATTTGCCTAATTAATTTCTAAATTATATCTGTTTGAAATATGTGACCATGTGTATCCTGATCTTTCATCATTATAGCTGTAAAAATCTAAAGCAAAAGGTCAAAGCTCAATTTGCTGCAACACATTTCCTGATCATAACTTGTGAACAGTTGAACATTATTTGAAGAAACTTTATTGTTATACATGTATGTGTTGTGATTAGATGGTGTGTCACACATCGGTTTTGTTCCCAAAGGTCAAGGTCACAGACAAAGGTCATTGTCTAAGTTGCAATAATGTTTATATGGATGTTGTTATTTGTAAAAAGTTGAGAATTTATAAAACTTTATTCGTAAGTGTATTATGATGTTTTGCAAGTAACCACACTTATTTGTGCACTTCCAAGGTCAAGGACACAGACAGGGGTCAAAGTTAAAATTGCACGAATGCTTTATAGGTGAACAATACTTGGTGAAAGGTAAAAAAAAAGTGTATATTGACTGACTGACTTTAACCCGTAATCATCATACAATATAAATGGCTCATTCAATTTCTTGAAAAATGAATATTTGATTAAATATTTAATGTAATTACACAAGAATTATGATAAGCATGTCAAGACTTCTGATGAAGGGATTCCTTGCAGATATCACAAGACAAATGATTACTTGGGTGAATTGAATAATAAAATCAGTAACTCATCGACGTAAGTATGCTGTGCAGTGTCACAAATGCATGAAGAAAAATCCTGTTCGTATTTACCAGAATGTTGAGTAATCTGCCCTTACATTGATATATTGTGTTATGAGAGTGAAGTCTCGTGACATGGCCACCAGTATTATATAGAGTATAATATAAGCATTTCTCTAAGAACTTAAGGGAACTGTCTGTCGCTGTAACCATTGTTATATACTTATATATCTTGGAAATTGTTATATAATGTCTTAACAGTTGTACTGCAATCTATCAATTCCACTGGATAAGGATTGAATCAGATTTAATATGGTATGGGGAGATTTTTTCCATCCACAATTTGGTTTTTGCAGGATAACCTGGTTCAATATTGTTCAATTTTTATGAAACTTGGTAAGCATATGCAGTATTTAAAGACTGATGCTAAGTTCAAAGATGAGCGAAATCTGTGTATGAGTAATTAAGATACTGTGCTCTGATTGGTTAGTTTTAAGACTTTAATTTCTACTAGATAACTCGAATGCTAAAATGTCATTTGATTTTTATGAAACTTTGTAAACTTTTACAATATTCACAGACTGAGGCTGTCCTTGCATAATTACGGTAATAAGCATACTGTGCTCTGATTGGTCGATGGTTTCTGCACAATAACTTAGTCAGCAGTTATGATTAGATTCTGATGAAACTTGGTCAGTTTTTAACCGGTACATTATACAATGACAAAGGCCGAGTTCTAAGTCGAGCAAAATGTACGCATAATTCGTAAGCAAACTGAGCTCTGATTGGTCAACAGTTTCTACACAGTTAAATACGACAGAATTATGATGAAATTTATAAGTTTGAAGTTGAGCAAAATCAGTGCATACATTATGTAATTAATTTGCATGCTGCACTCTGAATTGTCATTGGTTTCCATGAATAGATTTTGATGATGAAATCAGTTACACTAATCAATAAAAATCTGCAAGTAAATAATAAGCGCTGTGAAATATTTTCTGTTTCAATGGTTTAAGATGAATTGATAATGAGTAAAAGGGGCAATACAGATTTTTCTACGTTATGGTTTGAAATATGGAGAATGAGAAGCAAAATATTATTTTTAAAGGTCTTAAATGATATATTACATTTATGTTCTTTATCTGAAGTTGGTCAAGTACAGTATGTTTGCTAATTTCAGTACAACCAAAGAATATAGTTCTCAACTTGACTGAGTAATACAGTACAATTTAAGCTTCTTCTTCTTACCTTTCCAGATTTCATATCTTTAAAAACAATTACGCATCAGAAAAATTTCAAGACAGGCATCTATATTGTTCAGGCCTTTGGTACTCCTGTTTCATCGGGCCAGTTTTAACAAAACTTTGTGCAAACAACTATTGTTAAATGTTGATTAAGTCTGGTGTTGCTGTACAAAAGATGTTAAGAGCACACAGCAGTGATTAACTGTAGATAACAGTATAGCATGCCCCAGTTTATGTTATGTTGTTTGATTAACAGCAGGGATCAATCTAGACTTGATTCACCACCGTTTATGGGTAGTTTCCCCTACAGGAGAAATTTCCCCTGTACTTTGAAATTCCCCCTGTGCACTTCAAAACCCCTATTTCAAAATAGCTGTTTTTTCTTCAAAATATTTCCCCTAAATTTGTTTTCTTTAAAGTTCAACAGTTAAAATGCATAATACCGCATATATACATTTTCTCCACTTAGTTTAGACAAAAATTCTACAAATTTAAGCCTAAAATTGTTTAAAATCTGAAATATACTGCACACATATATGTCAGACAAAATGTTTATCTTTTACCTTCATGACGCTAGAGCCTTGTATCAAAATTGTAATTTCCCCCAAATCTGAAAAAAGGGTTATTTCCACTAAAATCTAGATTGATCCCTGTAACAGGTAAAAATTATGTTTAACATTAAGAAATTGTATTTCTTGTAATGTTCAGTCCCAGATACGGAACTATAGATTATAAGTCATCAGCCTGCATGGTTGTTTAAAAGCTGGACATCGTAATTTATCCACCAATTTTACATGAGTTTAAACTTGCTAAACCCACTTTTTTGAGATATATCTAAATTTATTTACGTTCACTCAATAAACCTCTTCCCGTTAATTGGAGGAATCATCTCATTTAAACCATGCTTTAAGTCATAGCAAGTTTCCGTAATGTCGACAACATTATGTGTGAGCAAAGGTATTGTACGTTGTATACAATTTTCCGTAAACGAGACACAATTTTGTGACACCATCAACAGTAGATGAGGGCGGAGTAAACCATTGGTTATGCAAAATTCAGACTGTTACTTTTATTGTACTGGGTGTGCAGGAAGTCAACGCCATTCGTTTGTACTGAGGTGGATCTGAGGGTCCCTTACCCTTCAACTGGATACCTGTAAGAAGCCCGCTCATGGGGCTAAACTGGTCGATGTACACCTTATAGATTAAAGAAACCTACTCTGATGCTGTTGTGATTGATACCTTTACCTTTAATTGAACTGATAACACGTTAATATGTTCTGAAAGTGAAATTTGTATCCCTTGATCAGACTAATGTATACAATAGTTGTGAACCATTCACAGAAAATTGCTATAATAAGGAATACTGCATGCCTGGAAATTTTCACTGCAGTTTAATTTTCGCCTTTTATGTCCTCTGTAATGAGGGCGAATTTACCATTTCAGCGAATAGATTATAGTAAACAGCAAAATTCATATAGGAATTAAATATGAAGGGCAAAATTAACACTCAGTGAAAATTAATCTCCTGGGCACAGGGCGAAAGTTGACTGGGGCGAAAATTTTCCAGTATACAGTAGTTTTCTGTAGTGGTTAGGTTGAGGTCGAGTAGAGTACATGTAAATGGAATAGGTATTGACCTAGTCTTTATACATATATTGTAAAAATGGAGGACAGATAGGGGTGGGACCTAATATAGGAGAAACAGAGTTAAATCTTCAAATCCTTCTTCTCCTGTGGGAATAAAGGGATTTAAACCTAATTTGATTAAAAGTGTCCTTGAACCAAGAGGACTCCATGTTGTGTTAATATACCTATAGCCCCCATTGGGTCAAAGGAAAGGAGAGGTAAATGTTCAAAATCCTTCTACTCCCGTAAAGATTAACTCATTCACCCCTGAAATTTTATAATGAACTATTCCATCCTTTGAATTGGAAGAGTTCAAATGTGTCTTCAGGGGTGAATGAGTTAAGAGCTTCTTTCAGCTAAGTAGGACCAAAGGGAAAAAAAGTATGTAAGTGTTCTCATTTAAAGCTTAGGTTCCTTGGAAAAATAGCCTCCTATTCATCAACTTGGAACCGGGTAATGTGAAATCACTAATTTGTGAGGTTTTTAATTTCGTGATTTCGTGGGTGAGCTTCATCCATGATTTAATCGGTCCACAAAGTAATTACAAGTTTGATGTAAAGCAATTCTCCTTTTGAGTGGGTACTCCTAGTCCACGAATTTGTGTACCTTCGAAATGGGTGTTTTGTCAGAAAATTACGAAATTTTGGCCGAACAAAAATATCTGATATTACAGTGTTTTTTTAAAATATGTAAAGGTTGACTTTATAGCATATGAACATTCAATCAGCTATTCTCTAAGGCAAACACTGAACGTCTGATTAAATGTTTTGTATAATTACGTAAGGATCATGCCCTGTATGGTAAGTCTATTTAAATGAAGGGATTCCTTGCAGATATCAAAGGACTAACGAATATTTTGGTGACATGAATGATAGACTCAATAAATCGTCAGCGTAAGTATGCTGTGTAGAACATGTACCACAAATGCACGAAGAAAAAAAAAAATGTTCATATTTACCAGAATGTTGAGTTATCTGCCCTTACATTGATATATTGTGTTATGAGACTCTAGTCTATTGTTATACTATTATATACAAAATTATGTAATCAGTATCGTGACTGTCACAACTAAAGGGAACAGTGATCAGTGATCAGTGGCTGTTACCATCATTATATACTTGTATCTCGGCATACTTGCCAACTTTTTGAAATTTCCATGGGAGAGATTACGCATGCTCAGAATTAAATACATAAATGAAATGTGTGTATGTACACCCGAGGGAAAAAATAACACTTTTAAAATGCATCCCTGAATCTGTTCTTTCAGGTGAAATCATTATATCTTGAGAAAAAAAGAAATTGTTTAGCAAATTCACTGGTAAAAAATGCTCATTTTAGGGTCCCAATATCGGGAGCCTCCCTCCTAAATAGGGACAATTTGCAAGAATGTCTCGGTGTTGTATAAGGTGTACTGTCTCTATGATTTACAAAATCAGTTCATTGATAATTAAAAAATAACCAACCTTCATAAAAGTGAAACAGAGGTCATTATTTGTCTATGTCTCTGATTGGGGTTGAACCTCGGACCTCTGGTTTACTGGTCTAACGACTCTCTACCGATGAAGCTTAAGAGAAATTCTCACAAGCCGTATCTGTAGTAAGGGCCAGGACTAGTATTTTACCAGGGTGACATACTCCCCCTACAGGAAAGATCAGCTTGTCCCAAGTTCTTGCCAGGTCATAGCAATTCTTGTGAAAGTGTCACTTAGTACTTTTATCAAAATTTGCCATGTCCTTAGGCGGGTGCCAAAGTAACGGAGGCAATTATTTTTTCTATTCCTCCGCTAGGAGTCGAACCTGGGACCCCTGGTTTACTACCAGTCTTACTCTCTATTAAATAAGTCGGTAAGAAGCAGCTAGTATTTATACTGGAAGTCCAATAGCACAAGGATTTCAATTTTGTAACCGTCCACTCACCCTTTTTAGGAATAAAGGGTCTGGTTCAAATAGCAAAACTACAGACATAAGGGTAGGTTTTACTTCTCAATTTCTACAAGTGTTTACTCTACAGAGCAGTGAAATCACTGTAAAATAGTCAAATTTTGCGAAAGGCTGATATTGCTGTATGGGAGGTTTTACTCGACAGAGCAGTGAAAATCACAGTAAAATAGTTAAATGTTGCGAAAGGCTGATATTGCTGTACTGAAGGTTTTATGCGACGGAGCAGTGATAATCACCGTAAAATAGTCAAATGTTGCGAAAGTCTGGTAGAGCTGTAAACGAGGTATTTACCCAACAGAGCAATTAAAATTTTCATTTCATAATATTTTATTAAATCAAGTGATTTAATGGGAATTGCAATTAAAATCACTGTAGACTTATAGCATGCTCCTGTTTGTGTTGTGTTATTTGGTTACCGGGTACGTTTTATTCACATCAAGTGATTATAGGTGGTATTGCATGTAATATTCACAGTTACAGAACTGAAGCCTCCAGTTGAAACAATGGCACTGCATGTTTGTTCAAAACCTGGCCATCGTAATATGGCCACCATTTTATTTACAGGTTTTGTATGAGTGATATGTAATTATTGTTCTTGAATATCAGTGTCCACATTCTTCTGTACATAAATATATTTATTCATAAAGTCATAAATATCACTCACTTTGTTGTGTAAATACTTACAGATTACTTAGGGGATGTGTATTTCCTTCCGTCATTCAGATTGAAGTATAAAATGTTATAAATGTACCGGTGTTATACATATTCTATTGTCTATCAGTGACACATACAATCTAGCTGTTAAAAACCACTTACTTTGTGTAATTGATTTGTCACTTTAAACATCAGAATTTATACGATTAGATTTAGACCTGAAATAACCTGTAACACACACAAACAATTTATTTAGGAAAAGACGGACACAATGAAACAATTTCATATAAGTAGGTAACTTACAAAGTTGATAACTATTTATATATAATTTACATGTTTTGGCTAACCCTGGGATAGCCTACCATTAAAGCCATAGAAAGCTTATTTCCAATAGGGTCCCATATGTAGACATTTTGGTAGATTTAGACCTAAAATTATTTGTAGATATTTTGGTAGATTTAGACTGAAATTATCTGTAGATATTTGGGTAGATTTAGACCTAAAATTATTTGTAGAAATTTTGGTAGATTTAGGCCTAAAATTTTCTGTAGAAATTTTGGTAGATTTAGGCCTAAAATATTCTGTATACATGCTGGTAGATTTAGACTGAAATTATCTGTAGACATTTTGGTAGATTTAGATCTGAAATTATCTGTAGACATTTTGGTAGATTTAGACCTAAAATTATCTGTAGACATTTTGGTAGGTTTATACCTGAAATTATCTGTAGATATTTTGGTAGATTAACACCTGAAATTATCTGTAGACATTTTGGTAGATTTAGACTGAAATTATCTGTAGATATTTTGGTAGATTAAGACCAAAAATCATCTGTAGATATTTTAGTGGATTTAGTAAGACCTAAAATTCTCTTTAGGCATTTTGTTATGGTAGATTTTGGTAGATTTATACCTCAAGTCATCTGTAGACATTTTGGTAGATTTTATCCTAGAATCATCTGTAGACAGAATAGAAACATTGATTTCTCTTTCAGCACCTGGAAAATTACTTTTTTAGGTCACCTGAGCTTTAGCTCAAGTGACCTATTGCTATCCGTTTTCGTCCGTCGTCGTCCGTCGTCCGTCGTCCGTCGTCCGTCGTCCGTTAACATTTTACGTTTCAAACTTAAAGTCAAGTTCTGCTGGGCCGATTGAACTGAAAGTTGGTAGGAATGATCGCCTCATGGTCCTGACAAAGTGTTGTTATTTTTCGGGTCAATCAGAAATACAATTTGGCTGCCATGGCCGCTATTTTGCTACTTAATTCTAATAGGCCGATCTCACTTAAAATTGGTCTAGGAATGATCAGCTCATGGTCCTGACAAAGTTAAGTTAACATTATACTATTTTTTACTCAAATTGGTACATATTTCAACAAAAAAAAAAAATACTGTAGACTCAGGTGACCGTTAAGGCCCATGGGCCTCTTGTTTTCCTGGGTATTTCTTTTCTCTTTCTCTCTCAGAATTTATGAATTATCAAAATTCATGACATTCCACTGTACGTCAAAGTAACTTAACATATCATTTAGTGGTTTATAAAACATTATCAAATAAAGTCTTGTTTACTGCCATTTACCTGCTAATTATATTCATATGGCTTATGAAACTACATATATGAAAGTTGAGAGATGTTTCTTGAATTATGTCTTGCTTAGAACTTGTTCAAGTCTATTTTCTGTTACTATGGTTGCACATCAATATGTAACGGATTATGTATTTACAGGTATCAAAAGACGTCGTCTGCAGTGAAAACAGCATCTGAGAAAACGAATGCAGCTGTCTCGTCCTTTGGTGCTTCCGTCACGAAAAAGTTAGGTGATCTTAGGTAAGATTGTGGGTTTGGGGTTAAATTACTGTGGGTCATATAATGACAGCTAAAGTCACGTATTGACAGGCTTATATGGTGACAACTTCAGTCATGCCATATCACCATGGAAACGAATACATTGTATACCCAAAAATACAAATTTCACAGATTCTTGGATTTTCCTGGCCGCAATTGAAAAACATTTCATATACCTCTATGAAAGCTGGTACACAAAAATCAAACTCGTGCCGGGGTTGTGACTAAAGTTTTTTTGGAATTCTTGTTTTCATTGTCTTTCCTGTAACCATGGAAATAAATTATCTGAAAACACTAAATTTGCTGTTTTTAAGCATGACACTGTGTAAATGAGTCAATACATTTGATTATACACCATTTTACTCTCCATAAAACTATAGTGTTTTAAAAATATTAGCAGTAGAAGGCACAGATGCAGTTATAGAATTGATTAATAAAATCTATTACCTGTAACTTAGTGAGATCGGGTTATCTCAGTCGAGGGCTAGGATTCTGTAACGATTCTGTAACATAATCCCAAATGAGGCAGGCGTAAGCCGGGTTGGGATGTTACAGAATCTTATCCAGAGACTGAGGTAACAAGATCTTGTTTTCTCAAATCTTTTAGTTCCAAAAACTAATCAATTTCCTCTAAAGTCTAAAAGTACCCCATATTGGGCCTTATAAAAATATGATCTACTCACTACTAAAGCTATGCTTGAATGCTTCCACATAAAAATGTAGTCCGTCTTTGCAAAGAAGATAACATATTTCACTGTGTAGATTATATATTTCTTACAACTTCAGCAATCTGCCAACATCAGAACAATACATAAAAAGACATAACAGAATATTTATGATGCGAATTGTTGATTTTAAGCAGTTATCAAGCAGATGAATACATCGCTGTGAAAATTTCGTAAAATACTACAGACAGATTGGATGATATAGAAAAATCTGGCACGGGGTATCACGTGGGATATCCCTGTCTGAGGTGCCAGAAAGGGGGATAATGCCATGCTTTGCAATACCTTGTTATTTCTGCTGAGTAAAATTTTTGCTCTTCACTGTTAAATATATGTCATTGGGGGTTGCAAAGACAACAGTGGTCAGGTTATTTCGTTGAGTGTTGGAATTATTGGGTATATATTATCGGTATAATAATAATAATATACAACATTTGATATAGCGCTCTATCTAGCTAGAATAAGCCACTCTAAAGCGCTTTACAGTACATAGATATACATTTTATACAATCATTGCAATTAGCATATACATTAATCAATACAATTTTGAGGAATTTTGAAACAGACATTAGTCAACCAGTCAGTCATGCGAAAGATACACACGGCCTTGCTCAAACCATTGTCAACTTACCAGGCTTCTGTGGAGAACATACAAGTAGACCTTCGCAGGTACCGCTTAGTTATTGTGTCACATTGACCGCTCAGGGCACGCTCATCTTACGATTGCGTAAAACAAGTCCCAACAACAATTGGGAAAGTGGAGAACAAAACGAAAAACCTAAAGGAAGTGACATAGATAGGTATCCAAAGCAGGTGTATGTGCTCAGGTGTGCTCCTGTCAAAGTCATGTCCGACTGGTTTGGTCACATTCCACAGAACACGTGTACACTTACATGGTAAATTCTCCCTCATGATAGCAGGCCGAAAAAGGCAAAGATAAACTGCAGTGAGAATTTCCAGGTGTATGCAATCTTCTGCAAACTATTTATTATTTTGATTATTTTGATTATGCCCCGCTCAACGAGTTGGCGGGGCATATAGAAATGGGGTTCGTCCGTGCGTTTGTCCATGTACCTGGTTAAGAAGATTTGCTCTCATCTATATCTTGCCCACTACAAGTGATACATGGATTAAACTTGCTGGAAGGATCACTCTATAAAGGTTCATCTACTGATTGTTGCAGATGCTGAATTTGGCAAACATTTTATGTTTTAGTGACTTGCATAATAAAAATTCCATGAGTTGGTTAAAAAGTACTTGTTGTCATATATACATGTATCATGTTTTTAATGACTTCTGCACTGCGAGCGGGGGATATTGATGACAGCCTCTTCTTGTTTCATTACATTTTGATTTCATTTTTCAGGAATTCTAACACTTTCAAATCGGTAGAGGAGAAAGTTGGTGGTGCTTATTCTAATGTCAAGGTTAGTAGACTATTAAAACTATTTCTAATGATAATAACATGTACTAGTGTTTCGACCAAAGTGGGTTGCTAGAATGTGGAAATTGTATGTAGTTTTAAGCATGAGACTCCTAACATTCCCTCTTGTCTTTAAAGTCACTCCAATTTCTCAAAAGATTTAACTTCATTGCTAGCTTCAAAGAAAATATTGGCTTCAGACAAAATTGTTATTGCTAATAAAAATGTGTGTGGGTTTGATTTAAGATAATAGATTTGATGACATTGCAACATATATGCCTTTTGCATATATTTCCAAAAGGATGTGATTTTTTCATGAAAAAAAAAATAGAAATTCATTGAAAAGGATTTGATCATGTGTCTTAAATTCTTTTTAAAAATAAAAATAAATGACTTTGGAATGAAGTATTTTGACATTGTCATTTGCAGGATAATTTTTATTTTTAATTTCAAACTGTTTATTTTATCCGTATTTTTCCTTTCTTTGAGAAATTGGATTTGCAGTTGGTTGATGCTTTTAATTGTGGCTCAAAATTTATTTTAGCTTTATTAATATTTTATATCCAATTGTGTAAGAGAAATGAAAAATTAAATCAAACAAGTCTGTGTACTGCGCAGTCATTTTAGTTATGTACCGGTATGTTGACTAACAGAAGTTGAATGGTTTAAATGTGAGGCTGTTTGTGTTTGTATAGACATCTCGGTCTATAGGGAATATGAAAGGACGGCTTGGCATGGTAAGTGACAGGGTGTTGTAATGCTGTAGATTTGATTGTCAGTATTTTGTTTCTGTATTGTAAAATAGCAACTTTAGTTTTGCTGTTGTAAGAAGAACACCATCTGAATGACTTTTTGTACTTGTAATATTTTGTAGGCAATGTTTTATTTTTTACACCACATCTTTGTATTAACTCATCTGGACCCATCGGACCACGAGAGCTCATGCCCTACTGTAGCATCTGTCGTTCATCTTTCAAGAAGTTCCTAAATGTCTTCTTCTTCTGAACCACTGATCGTTATTTCACATCAGTTGACTGGAACGACCATTAGGTGTTGTGGATTCAAAATATTAAGCAAATACAGGGGCTGGTTCCCATGTTAGGTAAATGGGCGGGACAAACAATTGATAGTTTGGTTATATTGCTTTAATCAACTTCTCTAGAACTAGAATTTTGAGATGGATTTTAACCATATTTCAACATTCATACAAATGAAGCGACAATCCTCCGAAGGCTGAGGGGTGGGTCCAAAGAGGATAATTTGGCTTTATTGATTTAAGTGACCACTTTTCTGGAACTAAAGGAAGAATAACAACCATATTTGGGTGCAAGCATCTTCATGTGGTGGGTATTAAACATTTGTTTAAATGGGCTGACTTTAGGTTTGTGGGCAGGGTCAGACAGGGTCAGAAAGCGATTTTTACTGGGAAATGGTTCAGATCCCCACCCTTTGGACATGCATACAATTCCTGAGTATGACAATGCTAATACACATATGCTTCCAGGATTGGCCCCTGGGTCTAGCCCCACACCTGGCGACTTAGATGTTGTGTCATAACTTTGAAATGTTTTAGATCCCTACCCCATAACCATATATGGTATTGCTGGGCATGAAATGTCTAATGCAGATAATTATCTGTTATAAGGATAAGCTCCTTATCCCTGGAATCTTTTTGTATTGTATATCAGGCGAGTGATACAGGCCCTCTGGGCCTTTTGTGTTCAAGGTGTTGTCATGATGTTGTTGAATATATTTATTTCTGTTTAAAAATGAAAAAGTTAACCTGAGAATTCTAATAGATTCACAGGATTTCGTAAGAAAGCAAGCAATATTAAAAGCTGATAGAAGTCATTGAAACAAATGTTTCAAAATGATGATGGAGCCCTTGTCTCAGACACAGCTTGTTACAACACGCGTAGAGATTACTCACATTACTGAGCCTTTAAACTTGTATTACTGTATAACTGGTAACTTCGGCCCTTAACCAGTAACATTTATGTTCACCCTGTGCTACATGTAGTTTCGCCCGTCACATGCAATGATTAAACTACTAGTTCTGTGTACAAAGGGAGATAATCTCCTGTATCCAAGATGGCAGTCTTTATGAATCATCGATCTTTCCCTTAAAAAGAAACAGAAAATTTCAACTTTCACCAAAAAATTTCAAAGATTCCAAAATGTCCCAACATGAAGCTCTGATATTTAGCAAGACATTTACGAATCTTACACCAAGGGTTGAGATATTTCGTTTGGCACTATAATGGGGAATTATTATTTTTCTCACATCTCTAAAAAGGGAATTCAATTAAGAATATTCTCAATGCTAACCAAACACATGATGTCACCTGATTATAAAAAACTAAACATCATCATTTGCTGGGGTCGCAGTGGCCGAGTAGTTAAGGCATCCCACCGTCTACAATTACTTCCTCTCCACCACTGGGTTGCTGGTTCCAGGCCAATTTTGGACAGTTGCCAGGTACTGGCCGACGGTCGGTGGTTTTTCTCCGTGAGTTTCGGTTTTCCTCCATCACCAAAACCTGGCACGTCCTTAAATAACCATAGCTGTTAAAAGGACGTAAAACACACACAAACCAAATCGTAATTTCCTTCCATTGTAACATAACAATTATGGGATATAGCTTGCCTATTCCCACTACGGATGTATGATAGTAATAGTGTCGGTCTATAAGTATACTCATGTGTTTGACGTTACTCTGCAGCAGGGCCACCCCACTGACAAAAAGGGCCGTAAGTCTATGTATTAAGCGAGTGTGGATTTCAGAAATTTACTCAACCTACCTGTGCATGAGATTTCTATGATATCAATGTAAATAAGAAAATACACTGTATATATATATTTATATTAATATAGGTAAGACAATTAATTACCCATACTTGCCAACATTTTTGAAATTTCCATGCGGGAGATTCTGCAAAATTGAAACATAAATAAAATGTGTGTATACACCCCTAGGGACAAAACAACCCTGTTTTGAGTTGTTCTTTCAGATCTTAGAATAAAGGAACAGTTAAACAATTCATACTTTGAAAACACTAAATTTAAGGGTCCAAAATAGGGAGTCTCCCAAAGTATAATAATCATTTGTGTTTACATTATATGCTTATTTAATCAAGCTGATCTTTTTATAGTATTGTGATATAACGCATGTGTATAATTATCATTAAAATGTTCTCCTCAATAGTAAAATTATCACTGTTTTCCCATATAGAATTTTTATCGAATTTATATATGATGCCGAAATTGTGCGATCGGCTGCATCCTCGACTTACTTACCAGTGTTTACACTGTCTTGTGTGCTCTGTACCCCTGGAATATGTCATGGAGAAATGGAAGGCTGTGTACGTGCCACTTTGTGTATGATACAAGTAGGCTAGGTTGATCTTTTGATGGTTTGATTTTTTGATGTTCATAAAAAAAATTGCAGATCAGTGTAACAGTAAAACTGGTTTTGTAGTTGGGTGTTATCTTCAAATTACAGTTATAAGCCTTAAAGTGATTGGTCAATATTTTTCACCTGAAGCCAATGAAATAGTGACTGCGGTGGGTAAGCCGTTAAGGCGTCTAAAAAACTCTGCTACCACTAAGCCCTCCACGACTGGGTGGCTGGTTCGAGGCCTACGTGGGGAGCAATCGCTAGGTACTGGCCATATAGGTCTGTGGTTTTTCTCTGGGAACTCCGGCTTTCCTCCACCACCAAAACCTGGCATGTCCTTAAATGACCATAGCTGTTAATAGGACATGAAACGCAAACAAACCAAACAAATCAAATAGCTTATCATCTGCATTCAAATTTGTCGTGACATATTCCAGGGCTGCAGAGAATGTATGTTAATATCGTAACTGCTGGAATTTTGAGGGATGGGTCAGCTGTTGATTTGATTGTGACGTAATTTGACAAATTCAATCATACATTGTGATTTCACAAATAAATGATGAAAGTTTTGTATGAAAAAAAATGTGAATTAATAAAAATCCTCATTGATTATGTTACTATTGAATACATGTCCCTCGACCTAGAATTCTTCAATTCACTAAAATGTTGATATATCCTTGCGAATATGGAACTGTTATATAAGAAAGAATCTATCATTCGCTTCCCTTCATATTATATTTATGATACTCATTTTGGATTTTTATTCATGTTTGAGAGCCTATGGCAAATATGAAAAATCCAAAACGAGTATCATAAATCTAATATGGCTAATATGACACTGCATAACACAATATTCATATGATAAATTAGTATTTTGTATAACTTTCCGAATATTATCATTGTTATAATGAGATATTATTCTATGTGTTTCATTTTATAAACATAATCATGAGAGAATGGTATCCATTTTTGAAAGGTAAATAAATAAATAATCAAATGAAAACTTAAAAAAACGATCGAACTGCTTATCTGTATCGTCACATGTGAGACACACAATGAAGTATTCTCTCATTTGTATTGTATGATTTTGTTGTAGGCCAAGGTAACTGGCAGTAAATCGGAAGGCAGTTTTGAGGACGCTTTACAGAGTGAACGGGCCAAAGAAGGAGGTGCCAACGGGACAGCCGTACCAGAAGCAAATTCATTACCCGAGGAAAAAGTTCCGCTATGATCACAACAAGACAACTGTGTCGAAGTGAACATAGCTCGCAATGTGAAACGTGCCGATCAAAAGCTTGAGGTGTGAAATCTGTGTCTAGTAAAAGCTTTCCCAGCAAAATCTGCATCACTTATAAGTTTGTGATGTGAAATCTTCTCTTTTGGAAGCTTTTAACAAGACCAGGATTTCGATAAAAAAAAAATGATTCCAAATCTGCATTAGGTAAAAGCTTGCAATTTATGTAAAGTCAATATCAATTGAAAGCTTGTAAATTATGTATGACACTTCACTTGTGTATGACTCCCTAAAAAATGATCTTACTAGTGTCAAATGGCTATAGAAACATTGTTTTAACTTGGACCACCCCAGCATGAAATGTTCGGTCAATAAGTCCCATCCTCACCGGAGATACAAAAAGAACATGTTATTATTTTTTAAAAAATGGGGGGAAATTTCGGAAAATTACATTTTTTTTATAGAATTTAAGACCGTTTTTAATTACAGGTTATCGATAAGTTATTGTTTTCCGTATTATTTATGTAATTGTATATATATTTAATATGCTATTGAGTGGTCACCGAATCATTAATTCCAGGTAGAAAATATTCCATCTGTATATAAACTGATGTAGTAGAAAGAGGAAACAAGTTTTCCTTTTTTGCCAAATACATTTATGAATTTCCTTTACCAATTTGTAAACTCAACAAAAAATCTGCACTGAGGGTTAAAATAGATTTTTTTTTCCTCAAATAAGACGGCTTACCAGGTATATAGGCTATGCCCAATGCCCAATTCCGTTTGTACTTCTCAGATGTACAAAAAAATATTCCAAAATGAAAGGAAATAAATTCCACAAAAAAAAATAAAGGAATTTTTAAACATTTTTTCATTCTTTATGTTTTCAAGTGAAGCTTGTTTAAATATCAGAAAAAGTACATGTCTGTATACAAATTTTTCAGATTAGAAGTTTTTCTATTTATAAAGAAGTTGAGCTTTTTATATAAAAAGAAGGAATCTGTGATTCGGTGTTTGAATGTGTTGTGCAGATGAGGGACCAGAACATTTGATGTCAAAATATGTTTTATTGTTAGGTATTATTTCATCAGATTGTTTTATATAAAATAAAAGTCTACAAACGGCACCCACACTCACACAACTTTAGGAAATGGTTACACTAGTACTAGAAACACAAATTATCCATTCATCCTTGTAGTTACATTGAAACCTTACCAAATATTTTAAACATGGAGGGGGTGAATAAGTTGAGATAAAGAGTACCATAAAATTGACATATTATTGCCATTGTCACTATAATTGTTCTATATTTTAGCATTTGAAAACAATACCTCAAATATCTTAAGAAGAAAAAAAACTGCAGATGTCAAACTAGTTCTACATTTTACCAATGTTGTTATCCAGGAATTATAAATTTACGGCATTAAAATGAGAGATGAATGACAAGGGAAGTAACTCTAACCAAGATAAATTCAAATTATAAAATACATGCAGTGGAAATATAATTCGCAATTAGAACGGGTGCAATGGTACTCTTTACCTTAAAGATACAGATACATTTCGGTCAAGTGTGGGGTGTTACTAACTGGAAAATGTTACGTAGTGACTAATACTGTATAGAAGATCACCACATATAATTTCATGAACCCTTTTCACAAAGCAATGTATGGTTTCATTTGTTTTCACATTTTTTACTCTCTTTATGGACATTTTTGCATCTGTTGACATGATTTGGTTAAAACATGATAGATGACAGTTTATATGTATCACAGCAACACTTTCAATTTTAGTTTTGAAGAAAGAAAGTTTGAAATTGATTTACTTTTCATTCGTTTTCGTACTTTTCCTCCCACACTTTTGTTTAATTTCATGAATTTGTCTTTACATAAAAATAATGAAGAAACAGAATGTTTCAATTAAATTTATATATATGTATATATATATATATTAAAGATCTCTGTTCCACTGCACTTATATATATAGTATATAAGTAACCTCCCCTTAATGTCCTTTCTATATACATGTAACTAGAACAGTTGAGCGGTCGTATAGCAATCTGACGTCCAGGGTTCAAATCTCAGTCTAGCCCTGCTGACGTTTAATTTTTGGCAGTGGTACGGGGATCTTTAAAAAATTATTTGTATTAATCCATTTGATTTATTCGTATCATAATTGCTTTATTGGGTGTGTGCTTTGATCCTGTACTGTATTGTATTTCAATTGTTCATTTCATGTGATGATATAAAAGATTTTAATATAGCCGAGACATATTAGGTCCAAAACTATAGAAGAAATATTTTCATGTATGTGGTCTGCGCTGTGAAACATTAATGCATTCTTTTTCACAATCAGAAATATCTTGCAAATGTTTCACAATACAAATGTAATAGCCATTTTGAGAAAAGAAAATGCTTTAAACAATAGTAATTTGTTGTGTACTCTATTGAACTTCTAGTCAGTTTGCAATGCATTAAATACAGATTTTCAGTACAAAAATAATCTTATAGGCCAAACAAAATAATTGTTGTTTCCACTTTCAACTCTCAAACATTTCGGGTAAGGTACATATATTGATTATGTGGGATGGCAAAACTTTTTTTTGTGATTTTGTTTTCAAAGGTTTACGCAGAAAGCCTTTTCAACTTTTATAGTGGCTGTTTAAAATTAGCTAAAATAGGTCAGCACCAAGCATTAGGGTAGATTGAGAAAGTGGGAACAAAGATTTAGTTTTTGGTCTCCGATTCAAAATTGCAATTCCTGTCATAATATTGAATGAAGTTCATTGCTTTAAATTCTGATCAGGAAAATATAAGTAAGTTCATTTGTTAAACTTCTGTTTGTTCTGCAGTGTATCGGTGAGAGGTCATCTCGCAATAAATTGTGTATTATCGTTCTTGCAATATTTTTAGCATCTTTAAACCCAAAGTCTAAAACTGTAACATATTTTTGAATTCATTCCATTTGTCATCCCTGGACGGACTGAAATTCAGACATTATGTTTTGTTCGTAATTTACACAATAGTATTTAATAAAGTTACGATTATATGAAAATTATGAAAATGATCAAGGATGGACTGAAATTAAAACGTGTTTTGTTAATAACACAAAAGTACTTTCTATTTTATGGTAATACATAAATGTTTCGAAATTTTCAAAGACTTTAATAGAGCAGCAAAATGTAATGAATATTTGAAATCCTTCATCATCATAAGGATGTGATTTATTTTTGTTGGGAACGGCAATTCTGACTGGGAAGTGCGTCAGAATTTACATTTGTTTTGTTGAGTAAAACAATAATCCAACAGTAAAAAGATTTTTTTGAAGTTACATCCGACCTGTTTTCTGGTGTTAAAGGTAAATGATTGTAGTTCCATTGTGTCAGCCATATTTGTCCGTTGTAAATTGACCTAAACTATACACACGTACACATGACATTAAGTTTTCTTTCATTTGTTTTACACCATTTAACTCATTCACCCCTGAAGACACATTTGAACTCTTCCAATTCATAGGTTGGAATAGTTTATTATAAAATTTCAGGGGTGAATGCGTTCAACATCACAATGCAATTCAGTATACAGTAAAACCTTGCTATACTGCCACCATTTGTCCAGGTAAATTTTGCCATTATAAAGGGGTTTGGGATGTTTGCAGTGACAAAGTGACAAATGAAACAGAAGGCATTATAACAAAGGTTTATAATTTGCTTTACTGCCACCATTTGTGTAGATAAATGTTGACATTATAAAGGGGTTTGGTGGGTTTTTTGGCAAATGATGAAGTGGCAAAGGAAAAAACAGCCATTGTATGTCTAGATAAATGTTGACACTATATAGGGGTTCAGAGTTCTGTTGGCAGTTGATGAAGTGGCGAAGGAAACAAAAAGCATTATAATAAGGTTTTATTGTACCAATCCTAATTTGCCTCCATTTCATTTGTACATAATTTGCATATTGTTAAAGATATCAATAGTTAGAAGATGAACCAGGAAAAACCTGGCTGTATTAAGGCATTGGTGTTGTATATAAAATTCTATTATTAATCACAGAGTTGATTGCTTTACCTGAGCAAGTTGCATTGCCTTGTCCATTGATGGTCCAATCAACTGTCCAAAAGTGATAAAATAATCTCTCTCTTTGTGTAGGTATTCCACTACATTACTCAACATCTTTGTCTGGCTACTTACAAGTCACCTGGTCATGTGTTTATAGTTCATGCTTTTCTGACATCTGTGATCGTGGAAAGCAATCAAGTTGCTACAAATGACAAAGTATTTTGTTGTGTATGATCACAAACAGAACAATGTGGAGTAAAGTAAATTGAAAGGTTTATTTCATAAATAGTTTCAAAAGCAACATTTTGGAATTTCATAGAATTTGCTTCGCAAATGTTAACACAGTATGAAAAATATCTTCAGGTATTAGATTCTGAACAACACAGACAGATCCCATTCAGTATCAGTTCATGCTTTTTAAAAGGAGATATGCCTTGTACAAAATTATTATGGATACAAGTTCGTGTATTTGTTTTAATATTTAACAAAAAAAAGTGCTTATCAATATGCTTGCCTTTTTCTTCGTTGTAACAAAGATGAGAAGTCATTTAATTTTTGTTAACAAAACTTCAAAGGAATTATAATTACCAGTATTTAGGGGCATGTTATCATTTCATATTTATTGATTCTACAATAAAGAAATATTACTGTTTTTATGTTCGTTTTGATTTCTTTCAATAAAAAACATTCCATCTCAAAAAGTAGATTTGGATTGCTTTAATTTTTTTAGCTCACCTGGTCAACACTTTGAACGATTTTCTTTGATGCTAGATGCTTCAATTAATGCATGAACAGGTTATTGAATGTATCCAATGCCTACAGGTAAAGTATCTATATATCCACGATACTAAACATACCTTCTACAGTAATCTTTGTTAACCATTTTGAAATACATTGAAAACAAAATAAAAAATGTTTAAAATATCAGCTGTCTCGGACTTCTCATTGTATTTGTATAATGCATCCTTGAGGAGGGACACTCAACTTTATAAATCGTCAGTTTACTATCGCAAAGTTTTGCAGTTCTTTTGATGTATATCAAAGGATCCAACTAGACTACTTCTAGTGGCACATCCAGAGCCTTCAATTTCATCAAGACATCTATGTTGGTTTTATTAGCTCACCTGGTCCTGAATGGCCAAGCAGATTTGACTAAATTTGGTCTGGAGCATCCCTAGGCCAGGGGGACTCAATTTTGTATAAACGGTGGGTGTGGCCCCCCTGGGGGCAGAGGGGCGGACCCCAATAGGGGAAATAGAGGTAAAACCTTTAAAATCCTTCTACCGTAGTGATTAAGGGATTTTATCCTAATTTAGTCTGGGGCATCCTTGGGCCAAGGGGACTTTAAAATCCTTCTTCTGTAGGAATGAAAGGATTTTTTCCATATTTGGTCTGAAGCATCCTTAGGTGAAGGGGAACCAATTTTGTATAAACCGTTGGTGTGACCCCCCTGGTACCTGAGGGGTGGGGCCCAATAGGGAAAATAGAAGTAAAACCTTTATAATCCTTCTACCCATAGGGATTAAGGGATTTTATCCTAATTTAGTCTGGAGCATCCTTGGGCAAAAGGGACTCAATTTTGTATAAACAGCGAGTGTGGCCCTCCTGGGGGCAGAAGGGAGGGGCCCAATAGGGGAAACAGCAAATTCTTCAAATACCTTCTTCTGTACGAATGACAGGATTTTGTCCAAATTTGGTATGAAGCATCCTTGGGTGAAGGGGAACCAATTTTGTATAAACAGTCTGTCTAACCCCCTTGGAGGCAGAGGCGGAGCCCAATAGGGGAAATATAGGTAAAACCTTTAGAATCCTTCTTCTACCATAGGGATTAAGGGATTTTATCCTTAGTCTGAAGCATCCTTGGGCCAAGGGGTCTCAGTTTTGTATAATTGGTAGGTATGACCCCCCTAGGGGCATAGGGGTGGGGCTCTGTTTTAAGTTTGTTCTCGCTATATCTCAAGTACTGGATGGATCTCTCTGAAATTTTACATGTACTTACAGCATCTACCATGGAGTGCTATACCTTCACTTCATACCAATTATTTTAAACATATTCAGGCCCTCCTGTTATAGTATATACTATAGTAAATTTTGTGTTTACGACGGCTTGCTATTATGACGCGATAGATTTAAAGTCATTGTGATGTCATACATTTGTACGCCATTTCCTGTACCTCCGAATAAACAAGATGGACGTTACTTGAAACAACCATTGACTTTCGCCCTTGAAGGCCAGCCAGGAGGCCAAAATATTGCGACTTAAGAGTGACATTTGTTCTGTATTTCTATCTTTTCCCCCCCTTTCAAACATCTGTTGTTTATTACTACAGTATGTGTTGCAACCGAAAAACTCAAGTTTCGAAGAAAAAGGTTCATATGTGGCGAAATGTACCGATAGACAATACACTACTTCAACAACTGAATGTAGCCCGCCGATTCCGTTATACCCCAAGCTCCAACCAAATTCAGCAGCAAGGGTGTAACAGAATGTAAAAGTTTCTTTAACCCTTTCACCCCTATGCTACTTTAGCAGACTCTACCATACATTGATATGAATGAGTCCATTATGGTCTATAGTGGCGAAAGGGTTAAAGAATCTCTTTGTGATATAAGTTCAATATGTTAATATTCCAATTTCCGAATGAAATGTGCCAGATTCCATGTCTTATTGTTACAGATAAAACAAAGCTTTATGTTTTGTAAAATTTTATTTTAATGAGAAATGAAAATAATTATATTAATAATGACAATAAAATAAATGAATGATTTTTTTTCAACTTTGTAGCAACACGTACAACAAATGAAAGAGAGAAGAGAGATCCCTAGACATATCGCAAAACTTTACCACTTTGGAATTCTGAACTTTCACACCATCCCAACCACACCCATTCACCCATGATTTTGAAGAGACACACGCTCTTTTCTTTGCTCCATCAGGTGTTTATCAGAGAAATTAATTGTGATTTCCCCAGTATGCCTCATTTGAATTTCCGATTTGGAAATCTATAAACAAATCCAAATTTAAATAAATACCTCTGACACAATTGTTCAGTAAATGCAGCATATGAAGAAAGCGCAGAATAATCATTTTGTCATAAATATTCCAATTTCTTGTACTCACGAATTGTTATTATGATCACCAAAATTTCAGAAAGTCGCCAATAAACACCTGCACTTATAAATATTCATCAACTTTTAGCACTTGTGACAGAGATTTAACATGTATCGCACCACTCATAACACTAGTAAAGTTCCCTGGATGAATTAAACAAAGTGGTTACCAATAGGTTAATACCTAATAAACACAGTCAAGCTTAAACAAAACTCTCACAGCACCGACATGCTTGCACACAAGCAATATGCATAGAATTCTTTATAAATCTCATGCACACAATTTCATTTGAAACTGGAGATCATTTTTGGATCCTGTAAATGTCAAATACAAAGAAAATAACTTCCCTCTGATGGCATGGTGCAGGATTTTTAAAGTTATTTTTAACACATCGGCTTAATATAGAATTTCCTGTCATCTGCCATTGCTCTTCCAATCTTCAAGTGATGTTTTACACGCCCAGTGGAGCATAGTATAGTGTATCTTTCCACCAATGGATTCTCTGCGTTGGTAGCAAAGAAGTTACAGTGTGCCTCTTCAAAGAAATATATTTGGTGCCGAATTTTTTTTATCAATGATAAAATGGTTCTACTTCATCCCTAGGATTTTTTCTCTCCCTTCCTGCAAATACAAAAGTAAACCACCATAAGTAACATAGAAGAATCAAAATCATCAGGCTGCTAAAATAATGAATTCAAAATTATCCGGTTGAAATGGTTTTCATTTCAACCAATTTCATTGAGTAAACAATAGGATCCCTCAGTGATGGTAGTGAATTGCTATGTTTTAATTTGAATGTACAGTAAAACCTTGATATAATGCCCTCCATTTATTTGCCACCTCGCTTACCGCCAACATATTTCAAGGTGCCTTTTACTCCCTTTTTTTTATAGGTTATTTGATATAGTTCCCTCAATTCATTGCCAAATCCCTTTATAATGCCGAAATTTCTCTGGACAAATGATGGCAGTATAACGAGGTTTTACTATACCAAAAATGGAACTTCGAAGGTTCAAATTTCTCAATATGTCAAACTTACGACAAAGTCTGAATTTCCTTTCCTGTACAACACTACTGATATTTCGTTTATAAATTGAACTTTTAGAATCAAATTTCTCGCTGTTTCGAACTACAATTAATGCTGGATTTTAAGGAAAACATTTAAACTTACAACTAATAAATTAAAGAGAAACATTAATACCTGTACGAGAACATTGGAACTTCAACACCTAAACATGCAATTTATAGTGCACAAATACATTTTACATTCAATCCAATATTTGTAATTTCAAATTAAACTTGTGTTTTGTCATTTAAGACCCATGTTTCATTTTATGCAGATTACAATTATGTTCGGTGTTCAACATTCGCGAGTCGAAGTCTCGATATTTAAATTTTTTCCTGGTGGTCCCATCCCGCAAACTTCGAACCATCGACTGTACATTGAACAAACACCCTGTGTATCTTCTCATTGAATTTACTGGGGATAATCCTGATGCAGGTGATCAATTTTCAAAGCATTTACCTTTTAGCTGCTATTCCACTGAGTAATCTGTTTCCAAATATAAATAGCGGAATGCAGACGAGACCCAGGTATTTCAGGGTTTCAAACATGGACAGGTGTGTCCAGTAGCAGTAGTACAAAGCAAACACAGCTGAAATGGAAATAATACAAAAAGGTTAATCCAGATGGATCATTCATTAGTGATGCTGCATGGTTGGTGGAGTCTAAACTAAAAGTGAACAGTTGTGATGGGCAATCGGTTTAAAATCATTATCGGTTTGTAATCAGAAGTAATAAACCGCTCGATGATCGATTGCATAACCGGTTGTTAATTTTATTGGACTGAATACCCAGTTAAAGTGAGAACACTACCAGTGGATAGGGCCGATAACTATACATTAGGTTTTGCTCTTCACTAATGAATTGATTTTAAGCAATTTTTATGCAGTTTTATCAATCATATAGTAAAAATCATAAGAATATATGCCTTTCAATACATTTTTTACATTGAAAACTTTCAACGTTTTGATTAGGCCAAATAAAAATATATGTTTCCTGTTCCGGCTCAAAGAATATAGGGTAGGTAGGAAGGATTTAAAAAAAAAAAAAACTGGTCAAGAAAATCTCCTGATTCCAAAAGATTGTTTTTTGGAATTTGAGATAATCTCCAGAACAAAGTGAAGACAGATGCTAAGATTACTATATATAGGGCACCTGCATCTCTGCTACAGGGCTCTAATAATATCACAACAGACCCTGTATCTACTATTAACTTACCTCCAAGACACAAGTGGAAACCAATAGCGCTCATTGACATCGGGAAGTTACTGATGTTAGTTCCGATCTGCATCCACTGAAAATGGAACCAATTGGTGTAGAATAGTTTATATAAAGAACAGATCCACGCAAGTTGGAAATGATTGGTAGATTGATAGTCGACACTATCAAATCACATTACAGTTAATCATACATAGGTCAAACTGTTAATATGGGAAACATGCTATCAGCAAATTTTCTCAGCAATGCGATAACACATACATGCCATCTTGATTCTGATATCGTTTCAAAACATCATGTAGCATGCTTCATTAACCTTAATACTGTAGCACACACACAAAACAGGTAATGACCACAACGACACATTCTTTCTGACAACAGTTCAAAGCCTATTCATTATTCTTAGTCTTCAGAAAATTACAGATTTTTCCGATTACTTCCACACTTTTCAATCCATTTTCAAAAGTCACTACTGTTATGGGGGTTATGCCTTAATCATTGTTTCATTTGATCCATCCTAGTTTTAAATTCTGTTTGGTTGGGTTGTGGATTAAAAGTCTTATTAAACTTTGTGCCAAGTTTGGTTAAAAGCTACCTGATGGAACTTTGGAAGTGAAAATCAGAGCCTAGTGGGGTTATATCTGATGTATAATCTGCCTAAAACATAACACTTGGTCAGATCATAACAGGATTCTTTAAGTTTGATTGTTTTGGATTTTGTTTTACAAACACTAAGGTCATATCATGACACTATCCACCGATGAACGAGATATTTTAACAAATACAGGCGGTGGACATTTTCTAAGGACCAAATATTCAATAAACGACGACATATCCTTGACATATACAAGAAAGTAAGACGCCAAGTCCCGCAAGGGTAGCATCACAAACACTGCCTAAAGCTTAACACATTTAACAAATGAAACTGAGACGTGGTGATATTTAAACATGTTAAGCACTCAATTGAATTAGCACTGTCAAAGGCTTGATATCTGCAACACATTTAACCCTTTCAACACTAGACCATAATGGACTCATCCAGGTCAATTTATGGTAGAGTTTATCAAGTTACATAGGGGTGAAAGGGTTAAACAAAAACGGGGATGTGATTATATGAAAACATGTTGCAGACTAAATTGAAGGATCATTCGCTTGTTAAGACTAAAAATTTGCCAGTATTTTTTGCAAGTTATTGGGGCTGGTGGGGTTGACATGCCATCAGCAAATTATTCAGCAATTTTAGACGTTAAGCATCTTTCTGATATCGTTTCAAAACATCACACAGCATGCCACCTAAGCTAGCACAATACTCTCTGGTTAAACCTGCTTTGCGACTCTGTTGTAGGTGCGACTCTGTTGTAGGTGTGACTCTGTAGGTGTCAACTCAGATCATTGACCAATTCCGAATATATTTAAATTTCAGGCGGCCTAGCATAAAATCCGTTGAAACACATGCAATATAATGTAAAATCAACAGGATGACTCGACAGTCTCCCAAGTTCACAGCTAAACTAAAAGCCTTCATTGATATCTAAAGTTCTCGAGTACTGGGCAAAAGGCAACGTAAAATACCAAAATTTCACATGACTCTGGTCCACACATGTATTTAATGCTATACACCACTTACATCAATAATTAATTTGATACACAATTGCCTCATAACATTTATTCAATTTTCTTCGCGATACATCACTACGAAATAAATAATTTTAATGACACAAGGATAAAAGTAATGACATTTGGCTAAAAACTGTGAGGTGATTAATCTTGCATAAGATTCATCCGCTTTTGTCTTCAAGTGTCCTATTCTGTGAACTTGTGAGATCATTGGTTCATACTTACCAAGAACAGAAGGATGAGGGCAGGCAGGAAGACTAGAGCTGTGAACGTCATGGATACCATTGCTGGGGGTCTCTTCTCAGCCTCACGGAACATGTGCTGAAACACAAAGTCAGCAATGATTTATATGATTATCAGAATATTAATATTTCCTCTTTTTTTTTTTTTACAAATCAATTTTAATTTTTCTGATCTTGTATAATTTAATATTACACACAATTTTACATAATTTAACATTGCACACAACCTTACATAATTAAAAACAAAACATCATTTTTCCTGAACAATTCCTTTATACAGCTCCCCAAAACTGACAAAACGCTCTATATTGCCAGCATTTTGCTAGACAAATATTGGCAGTATAAGGAGACTACATTTGTACTTGTTACATAGGTTACATTTGCATATCCCAGTTGAAGCAGCACAGGTGGCGCAGAAATATTCCAAATATACCAACGTTCTATAAGCAGAGCTAAAACTGCACTGTTTCGGAGAGTAAAAAACAATGTATCAAGAATATTATGCCCTTCACTCACGCGTCCACTGAATTACATAACGTATCTTAAAAACTACATGTGACTTCACAATGTTTTAGAAAGAAATAACGAAAAATAGCAATAGTCAACATTTTCGTTTCAGTCAGGTACGTCTGGACCCCTCAATCTACACGTGCCAAAGACCTGTGCCTGTCGTTTTCTTTATAGGTTCAACTGGTTACGCAAATGTAGCCATATTTTAATAATATATTATAGAAGTGGACATTTTTGTGATGTGGAAATGTTTGCATTTTTCGTGTGGAGTAAATTTAGCGTAAAAATATCCACACATGAATAATTTCTGTATAGGTAATTGATAAATAGAACATTTTTATTTCAGAACTTTTGCTAACGTGTGAATTTCCACAACATGATCAGTTTTAAGGGTCTCAACCACAACATGATCAGTTAGTTTTAAGGGTCTCAACCCCAACATCTTCACACATGAAAATTTCCTTTTTACAGTATTCCTTTGTTGTAAATTAAGCTTCTAGGAAAACATGTTGAAATATAATTTCATTACTTCCTCTTAACTACCTTTTATCGAAACTATGCAAGATAAAATTAAGGGTTTCAATCAGCATTTTGTTCACATTAATACAAACCAGATGCAATCAGTGTTTTCCTCATTCCATTTTTCAGTATCAGTCAACAAATTGCACTTTTTTAAATCGCGATGTAGCTATTGATCACAATATTAAAATTTAGACAATATCTAGCCCCTATCAATAAATCAAACCTTGATCTCTGGTTTCTTGGCATATCTGTTCTCAGCTGTCTCTTTTTCTGTTGTTCGCTCAGGGAATATCAGGTTGACATCAGCCTGAAATATATGATGTCGACGTTATAGAAGCAAGTTTCTGAGGCACTGCAGAATATACATAAGCGAGTTTGTGAGGCACTGCAGAATATACATAAAGTCGAATAAACATTTGGTGTCCATGTAATTTGATGTTGGTTCTCTTGTCAATTCATGGTTATCAGAAAATAACTGCAATCAAAGAATATATTTGGCACAATAAGAACAAAAGATAATTTCCCTTTCACATCGAACAACTGCTGAGATACAACCAGGGATGTACAGTTCAACACGCCTGATGCACAGGCCTCGTAGATTTTATGTTGGGGCTACCTAAAGTTTTCATAATTTTTCTGTGAATATATAGGTCAGGTTAGTAGAAATTTTCATATTAATCAACCTGCAGCTAGTATTCTAAATAAGAAATTGTACACCCCTGAAATCATACAAAAGCAGCTAAAATACCACAGATGCTTCATAATGGATACAAGTAATTAGGCAACCGATATCCGATTTTAAAAGATGAAGCACACATCCTTAGAGACATTGTCGTCTTACAAACATAATTCTGTTGTTTATGTTTAAATGTAATTTAAATGTATACACTGAAAACACAGTTGAATTTTCACAAATTTCTCAAGTAAAATGTGCCTTGCATGGTCTGTCTACCCTGCCATTGCCACATAGTGACTACAGGAAGTTGATGGAATATACAGGGCCCCGCCCACACCCTACTGAGGCCGGGGGGCTCTCAATAGGGGGACAGAGTTTCTCTCCAATGTGATGGAATGGGAATATACCTCAAGTCCCCGGAGGGACATTCAGCTCCCGTACGCCACACAGACAGAGCCGGGCCAAATCTGACACGAGGTCAAATAGCCCAGATGTCAACATTGGTGTATTACACTTGGTTGGCAAAATTTATTTTTAAATATTTTCATTGGCGAGAAAAATCTGTCTAGAGTCCAACATATGCAACTGAAAAGTTAACATTTCCAAAAGGAGTCCATTATGATTATTGTAACGCAGTACAATGTTTTATTGACAGTAGTATTGGGAATCACTTAAGAATTTATGATCAATCGATCGATCATCACCATTTCTCAAACTATTGACGATTGTTCATGGAATGTTCATAAATTTCCTTTGAAAGATTTTCTCGTCATAGCCAGCCATGACGAGTCTTAGAAAATCATGACTGTTTAGTTATAGTTGGTTGTTAAAGGACTAGACCTCAATTAAATTGATTAATTGGAACAGATAAATCAGATACATATATACAATTGAGGATGGTTGCGTGGCACAGTGAATAGCACACGCGTCTTCCCCAAAGACTGCTGGGGTGTGATTCCCCGATCAGATGTATTCGGTCACCTCATATTGCTGCAGACTACCTACCAATGTCCAAGAGAAAGGGTTCTCTATGACAGCATCACCTACAATCAGCTCCATGGTATATTTACCGGACTGATGACCAAAGTCAGAAGCGCTAGATCCAACATCCTGAAAATCAAGTATAAAGAGTGTTTTACACTCAAAAGGATGAGACTTAAAGCCTCTCAAAATCTAACATGTGACAATGCGCATGCCAACACATGTTTATCATTCTAAAAATTGAACAAACAGTTAGATGAAAACTTCAGGCCATTATATTTTAAACAAATATAGCAACAGGAATCTACCTTAAGAGAAAAATAGACACAGGAAATATGTCCAAATACAGAAAATAGTAACAAGGTCTCTGGACAGTTTTAGGTATGTAGAACATGGACAGTGAAGTAGACACAATGGAGTTGTCCCCCTTGGACTGTCCTGCCAACATCAGTGTTCCTCCAAGCTAAGACAATTAGGTCACCGTACAAACCTAATTGGGGTAAGGGCGGAGGTCACCATTGGGAATAAAGGTCAAATAAGCCTTTGCAGCTACATCTTTGGCTTGGATATTAGAGTACAATTTTTAATTTCTACCAAATCACAAGGTGTATGTTCCATAAGCATTTACTAAGGCCAAACAAAATCACTCCTGTTTTCGCTATCATTCTTAGACAGTAGGTTATTTTTCTTATTTTGAAAAAACATTTTTATTATGGTTATATAGAGCAGAAGTTCCGACTTTTTACTGTGCATATCACTAAATGCCAATAAAATCTTAAGGATAGGCACGAAAATCAAGGGAAGGTAGGGTTAGCGGAAACACCAGATTTTTTTGTATTTGACCTTACACAAATAGAACTGTTAGAAACACAACAGGCATACTAATTTCACCCACCCAGTCAGTCATGTAAGCATTTTGATGGACAAAAGTCTGGTGATCTGATTTATTTTGGCCAGAAGAAATATAGAGTTGGGCAAGTAAATCTACATTCCATTTCAATGACATCTTTTTAAATCTCCATCACCTACCAAATCAAACTTGTACGAGTCTCCAGTGGTCTCGGCTACAAAAATGATCTCTTGGTTTGTGTTTTGGTTTGTCATCTTGACAAAAGTCTGATGAGCGGTAAGTGGTTTACCGGACACCTTCTCCTTCAGCTGGAACTTCATCACCATCTTCTGGTGATAATCGGCCTCAAACGGGTTAGCAGCCTTGTTAGGGTGCTGGATCCTGCCAACCAGACATAAAAGGGTAATTAAGTCACAACAAAATCAAAGCCAAGACCATTTCAAGGTACTTTCATAAAATCTGGACAACTCTGTGCATGACAGAAATAAGAATTTCTTGATGAAATAATAAAGTATATCTGGATTACCGAAAACATAAACATGCAAAATCATATATTTATATAGTCACATTTCATGGGATGATTTTTTTTCTACAGTTTTGATTAGCTCCTATTCATACCTTGAAGTCACACATTTTTGCCAGATTTTATTTTTTCCTGTGTGTAATATAGTGAAGCTTTACAGAGTTGTTCTAAGATAAATATGGTTTCATAGGATTTGGAATGTCAGTTAGTGACAAAAATGTCTTCTCATTATCCAGTTGATAAACAAACATAAAAAGCATTTATTGAATATCAAGATTTAATTCATTTCCCCCAGTCTTCCAGCTACACATTTCAAGAGTTCAATATACCGTCATGATATTACTGCACAGGTCAATCCCACAAGACAACCATGTGGTCTTTTTTCAATTCAGATTATATCATGTAGGGCTATTCCAGAAATGAATACAGACTGGCAGGGGGCATGACTGGATAGCACTTTGTAGGACCCAACCACTCATGATTATATTTTTCTCACGCTTGCTTCACAAAGTTCATCGATAATCAATCATGAGTGCCTCCCTGCCCTCCATCCCTAACTTCTTACTGGAACACCCCTTAAAACATACTTGTATTTCATAAAATTCAGAAAGAAGAAATAAAGAAATTAGAAGAAAAAGGCAAAAGATAAAGAAAGCATGTTTTGGGGAAAAAGAAAACCAATAACTTTTGAAGGGAGACAAAATAGGACAAATTTGTTCTTGTCGACATAATTCGTTCCTCCAGAGCGCATTATGCAGCTTCAACTCGAGGAAGGTCTCACAAAATTCCAAGGTGTTTGTTTTGCAGTTTGAAAAGGACAGGTATGAGGAGACTGAAGCCAGCAGAATTGCCGTGGGGTTGTTGTTTGGAGAATACAGCAAACAATAAGCATTATGGACTTAAAATCAGGTTTTAAAATAACCATCCATTGGCTCTGGAAGTGGGGCGGGGGAAATCCAATTTTATACATCATCCATCAAGCATTGTTAGAATTTTGGTTATCTGAAAAAGTTGGGATTTCAAATGTAAAAAGTTTTCAGGATGAGGCTCATTTTATCTGGATTTTTGGGAGTCGAGGGTTGGGAGGGGTGATTGTGTTGTTCGCCATTTTCCATTACAGAACTTGATGCTTACTGGTCCTTTGTAGGAGGTCTGAGAAAAGTTACACATTAGTATAGGAATAATCAACAGATTAAGCACAACATCCAACTAACAATACAGAGAAGAACATTTTGACACAGAAAAACTGAAAGAAAGGAAAGGAGATATTTTTGACGAAGAAAAGTTTATATTAAAAACAGATTACAAAAGTTGATCTAGAATATGAAAGATGAACTAGATACATAGTTTGTATATATATAAACTGATATGAAATTTGAATCTGCCTAAAGAAGCCTTCTTTAGAGGGCAGAAAGGCCTAGCGGTAGATCAGACAGATTTATTATTATTTTATTCTATATTTTCGTTTGCAAGAACTTGTTTATTTATTATCTACTATATAAATATTATATTTTGTTAAAGAGACTGCACAATCATATGTGTTACATTGTAATTAAATTATCCGTCGAGATCTTAAATTGATATTACTAATGAGGTAAAGATTATGGCGATATGTCGCCCCAGCAGGAGCGCCGACTTACTTGGTAGTTCTGGCAGCCGTCGTCTGATCTTTGTCCGCCACTCCTACTTCCACGTTTTCAACAGACACCTGTGTTGTTACTTTCACCTCAACCTTCACAAAAAACAATCGGTTGAAAATTGTCTCTCCAGTGTCATAAAAGTTTCAAACATTACAATATTAATACTGTGAAATCAGATATTTTCCTGGAGCCAGAACTTTGTGCCCCCAACTTGCAGGCTAGTAATCTAAATATGAAATTGTACACCCCTGAAAACATACAAAAGCAGCTAAAATACCACAGATCTTTGTTTTACTTCCTAATGGATACAAGTAATTAGGCAACCGATATCCGATTTTAAACTATGAAAGCACACAATCCTTAGAGACATCGTCGTCTTACAAACATAATTCTGTTGATAATGTTAAAATGCAATTCAAATGTATACACTGAAAACACAGTTGAATTTTCACAAATTTCTCAAGTAAAATGTGCCCTGCATGGTCTGTCTACCCTGCCATTGCCACATAGTGACTACAGGAAGTTGATGGAATATACAGGGCCCCGCCCACACCCTACTGAGGCCGGGGGGCTCTCAATAGGGGGACAGAGTTTCTCTCCAATGTGATGGAATGGGAATATACCTCAAGTCCCCGGAGGGACATTCAGCTCCTGTACGCCACACAGACAGAGCCGAGCCAAATCTGACACGAGGTCAAATAGCCCAGATGTCAACATTGGGTATAACACAATTATTTATCCCATCCTAATCCCTCTATCTCCCATAATTCCCAGATATCTAGTTAAAAATTTCAATTTAAACACGTTTCATTTTCTTACTTCCTTCATTTACGACAGCAAGTAATGTATGTATTGTATTAGTCCAGATAAATTTCCAATATAAAGTTCTTATAATCTTTTAATGTTTAGAAAAAAAGTCCATTTATTCACGTCCTGTATATTTTGAAGATTTTTCAAAGTGAAATGAATCAAAGAATATGATACTATTTCAATCGGTGTAAGCCTATGCTTTATATGGATAAGCCCCTACTAATTATTTTACATTTATGCAAAATGGGCCCATATTCAAATATCAAATTAATCCTTACAAAATCTTCTTCTGACCAAGCATCTTTTTCTGTAAAAAAACACTGTCCTTTATTGTACAGAAATCAGCCTTTTTCTTATGAAAAAAAACCCCAACAATCTTACAACATAACATTTTAAAGAAAAAGGAGTTCTGTTAATATTCAAATTATTTTTCAGTTCAGTAAGGCAATGGTTTGGAGACTGGTGTAAAGAGTTTATGAAGACAGCAACTAATTGTTTATACCCAGGTTTGTATTTTCACACAACCTGACAATAATGCTGCAACACAAATGCTCAAGACAGTATACCATTTGTCTGTATAATATGCTCACCTCTGCCCCGGTTGTACCAATCAGACGACTGTCGGCTTTCTTTGGAGCCACACTGATGGTCAACTTGTAGAATCCTCTAGCAGGCTTGGTCTGCATGAAGTTCAGCTCGTACAGAGAACTATAGTAAAGATTATATAAAACTACTTCATTACAGAAAGAAGAAGAACTTTCAATGTTTCATGAATACGTTTGTTGTGTTTTTCTTTGTTTGAAGTGATTTTTTTTGCATTCCCCCCCCCCCNAAAATTGTTAAATTATATGTATCTTTTGACTCCCGCCTTTAAAAATATTAACATGCATAGGGCTTGTCCCTTATCAAAATACTGCAGGGGTGGAACCACCTATAACTGTAATATCTCTCGGATGACTTTTGTCAAATAAAAAAATTCTAGGGGAAAAAAGTAGTGGGGGGTGCCTAGATAGCACCAGATGCTTAAGTATGTTGGTAAATATCAACCAAACAAAACTAACTGAAATGTGCCCTGCATGGTCTGTCTACCCTGCCATTGCCACATAGTGACTACAGGAAGGTGATGGAATATACAGGGCCCCGCCCACACCCTACTGAGGCCGGGGGGCTCTCAATATGGGGACAGAGTTTCTCTCCAATGTGATGGAATGGGAATATACCTCAAGTCCCTGGAGGGACATTCAGCTCCCGTACGCCACACAGACAGAGCCGGGCCAAATCTGACACGAGGTCAAATAGCCCAGATGTCAACATTGGTACATGTATGTACTAATTATATCGTGATTTATCATCGAAGCTTCTTGCGAGATGCACTATCAATTTCTGCATGTAAATTTAGAACTATCAAATTTTGGTGATATTTTACCCAAATGTATGATTTCCTCAGAAACAAATTGATTTATTACAATAAAATTCCCCGAATAGGACAACACACCTGTCTGTTTTGCTTGCAGTAAAGGGCTTCTTGCTAAGTACGATGGCTTCATCTCCAAGGTGACGGGCACTGTCAGCAGTCACAGTCAGGTCTCCCAGGGAATTACCCATCAGGTTGGTCACACGCACCTGTCAACCAAAATAACAGGAAACTGGTTATATGATGGATTTTCTCATGACTACCGACAAGAGTTAACCCCCGAAAATGTATGGCTTAAATTAAACTCATCATCAAAATTCATGCAAAAGAGTTGTTTGTCGCTCTTAGTCCGGCGCTCTCATAGGGCTGAAGATAGCCGGGTGGAAAGCAACACTTTTATCTAGCACCCAACAGCGAACAACCCAGCCACACAGACTGGAGTGCTAAAGACCGCCATCAGGTGCAGAAATAGGGTAGAATATCTTTAATACCAGAGTACATTTTTTAGATTCTTCTTATCTAAATTTGATACTATCATTTGATCTAGTCATCCAGTGAAACCTGACAAGAGACCATGTTCGGTTAAAATATTTTGCCAATGCAATATCAGTTCAGGTCGTTACATTTAAACTATTCCAATTCAAAGGTTTGAATAATACCCATTATGATAATTCAGGGTGTTAGGATTTTTTTTCCTTATCTTTAACATTTTTGCTAGGAGAAATGGTTTAATATTAATTAACTTGTGCCGTTTGTTGATTAGATGTTGCTGAGAAATAACTGATTATGACTTTTTGATATAGCCGTTTTTCGGTTGGAAGATTACAGCAACATTGTACCATTACAACATTAAAGTTAACCCATTCACCACTGTAGACCTCAATTGACTCATCCAGATAAATGTATGGTAGAGTCTACTAAAGTTCCCTAGGGTAGAAAGGGTTAAGGACACCCAGGGAAGACTCTCTACATACCTATCCTTATTAGTTTTTGATGCACATGTATGAACATCATTTAAATGCTGAGAAAAGACTTATATAATTGGGTGTTTGTCGCTCTTAGTCCGGCGCTCTCATAGGACAAAAGATAGCCGGGTGGAAAGCAACACTTTTATCTAGCACCCAACAGCGAACAACCCAGCCACAAACAGACTGGAGTGCTAAAGACCGCCATCAGGTGCAGAAATAGGGTAGGATATCTTTAATACCAGAGTACATTTTTAAAATTCTTCTGATCTACATTTGATACTCTCATTTGATTTAGTCATCCAGTGAAACCCGACTAGAGACCATGTTCGGTTAAAATATTTTGCCGATACATAAATATCAGTTTAACTCAGTCACCCTTGAAGACACATTTGAACTCTTCCAATTCAAAGGTTAGAATAGTCCATTATGAAATTTCAGGGGTGTCAAGCTGTTATTTCTCACCTTTAACATTTTTGCTAGGAGAAATGGTTTAATATTGACTTCACTTGTGCTGTTTGTTGATTAGTTGTTACTAAGACATAACTGATCATGACTTTTTGATAAAGCTGCTTTTCTGTTGGAAGACATTGAAGTTAAGGACACCCAGGGAAGACTCTCTAGATACCTAACCTTATAAGTTTTTGATGCACATGTATGAACATCATTTAAATGCTGAGAAAAGACTTATATAATTGGGTGTTTGTCGCTCTTAGTCCGGCGCTCTCATAGGACAGAAGATGGCCGGGTGGAAAGCAACACTTTTATCTAGCACCCAACAGCAAACAGCCCAGTCACAAACAGACCAAGTGCTAAAGACCGCCATCAGGTGCAAAACTAGTGTAGAGTATCTTTAACACCGGAGTACATTTCTAGGACTCTGATCAACTTTTGTCATTCACATTTTATCTACTGGAAGTTAACTAGCGAAACCTGACTAGAGACCGTGCATGATTTAGATATTTTTCTGATGTTTATTTGCCTTTTTATAAATACAAGTTCAACTCATTCACCCTTGAAAACACATTTGAACTCCTCCAATTCAAAGGTTGGAATAGCACATTATGAAATTTCAGGGGTGAACAAGTTAAGCTGTTATTTATCACCTTAAACATTTTTAAGATGAGAAATGGTTTAATATCAACTCGAGCTGTATAGTTGAGGAGATGCAAGTCTGAGAAAACAACAGATCATGACTTTTTGATAAAGCTGCTTTTCTGTTGAAGATTATAGCAGCAGTGCACTATCACAACTTTAAGGACACCGAGGGAAGACCACTCTAATACCTTATTAGTTTTTGATGCACATGTATGGCCATCTTCTAAATCCAAGGATTCCGTCTTTAATATACATTATCTTTACTACACCCATGAAATATGTCCCGACAAAATTCAAGGCTCTACAAAACACCTTGCAGATGACACAAGTTAACTGGTCTGATGTCTTGACAATCAAAGGGAATTATGTGACAGCTGGGTATGGTACAATCATCAGGCTTCAAACTTGAGTTTAGCTCCTCTGTAATCTTCAAAGAGCAGGTATCAGCCAAGCAATTGGTCAGGTTTTTTAAGCTGAAACCAATCAATAGCTAGTCACTTCCCTTTGATTTATCAAGATATCTTCCAAGAGCAGAGAAAATGTATTTAAGGTATTTAACCCTTTCACCCCTATGTCACTTTAGTAGACTCGACCATACATTGATATGGATGAGTCCATTATGGTCTACAGTGGTGACAGGTAAAGTGCCTGGCAAACCTTTCAAAAGTTCTCCCTCCATCTACCAGAGTACAGCCTAAATGTACAACTGTAACATCTCTTGCAAATATTAGAAGTCTGTTTAATACCAGGTGTCATATAGGATTAAAGCCAATAGTAAGAAAAGAGTTATATAATTAGGTGTTTGTCGCTCTTAGTCCGGCGTTCTTATAGGGCTGAAGATAGCCGGGTGGTAAGCAACACTTTTATCTAGCACCCAACAGCGAACAACCCAGTCACAAACAGACCAAGTGCTTAAGACCGCCATCAGGTGCAAAAACAGGGTAGGATATCTAATCAAGGGGAATAGGGCTATTTTTGTTTTGTTATCAATTTCACATCTTGTATGATTTCTGTCTTAATTCACAGGCTTCACTAGACTATGCATCAGGCTAGTTGAAGTTTGGGGGGGATTCTATGAAATACTTAGCTGTGCAGTAATAAATTAAATCTTTAATATCAGCCACTTCTTCAATGTCAAACCACCTACCTGCACTACGGCTGAAGACTGGCTGACAGCAACAGGACTAGCCAGAGTCACCGCAACTGGAATGTGGTACTGAAATGATTCAAACACATTGTTCTTTCCTTTTGTTGTAAATACATGCAAGTCCGACTTTACTCATGACTTGTACTCCGACACCACAGGTGGGATTGCAATTGATTTTTTATTGATTTTTATTTTTAATAATTTACTCCAATATGTTGTACAAAGTGATGGAAGAATCAAAACCCTTCAACTTATAATATTGAGTGAATTCAATTTAGTTCTACATGTTCATGCGTAACTGTTCAAAATGTTTGTCGCTCTTAGTCCGGCGTTCTCATAGGACAGAAGATGGCCGGGTGGAAAGCAGCACTTTTATCTAGCACCCAACAGCGAACAGCCCAGTCACAAACAGACTGAAGTGCTAAGACCGCAATCAGGTGCTAAGACCGCAATCAGGTGCAAACAAATCTATTATTCCCTTCTTTAATCCCTGAATATTTCAAGATTGGTGGCGAAATATTTTAAAATTTGACTAGCATCCATTTAAGATTTTCAACAGAATAGATGCTTCAATTGTTTTCTGCACTTTTTGGAAGTCTTTTACATACATACCTTATTGTCTGTGAGGGTCTTGCTAACGGACACAAAATGACAGGCGGCTCTCAGCTGATGTACATGTTTACGGCTCAGGAAATAATTAGAAAATTTCATCACTTTATCCTGAAATCATCAAAAGGATATTATTTTATCATTAAATATTTGAAATACAAAAATGCAAATCATGACAATATAGGTGTAACAGCTAGGGCCAAAAATAATTGCTAACATTTGAAATGTGGAAACCCTAGAAAAATAACTTTGTCAGATTTGTGGAGATATTTTCAAACACCTGCCTCCCTGCCTTCCCAGATATTCCTGGAATAGCGCTTAAGGAAGGATTTGTTTGAAACATTAGTTTTATACAAGCAAAAGTAGGTGTATAGTCCCAAATACACAGGGCTCAGGCTAACCACCCGGCCACTCGTCCTGACCGGGTGAAAATTGAAAAGGACGAGTGGAATTTACAACCACACTCGTCCCGGTGCCGAGTCAATATTACTGAAACATACACTAGATCTGTCGCCTAAATATTGTGATGAATAATCAATGGAACACTTTTTACCAAGTAACTTTCGTCACAGCATCGGAAGTAAACAACGTAAAACATGCCGTTTTCATGCTTGTCATAAAAATCACCTGAGCGCTTGAATCAAAGCGTCCTGAACGATGTACTGCGGGACCTGACTGCAGCAATCGCATCAGGGAACTAGACTACATAATGTTCCGTAACTAATCGAAACGAAAGATGGAAGTAAACCTTACCCCTTTTTCACAAAAGGTACAGTGTTGACACGATATATTTGATGAATGGAAATCAAACATGTTGCTAGTTATGATGTGTAGTAATTGTATTTACGAAAAAAACATTAATGGACATTGAACAACATCATCCTAACAGGTCAACAGATCAGTAAATATTTATTGAAATTTTTCATAATCTTGGGTGTACAGTAAAATTTCAGGAGTGCCGAGTGGATTTTTCATGACACTAGGCACAGTGCCTAGTGGTTTAAAAAGTTTAGCCTGAGCCCTGATACATCTATAAATGTACAAGTTTTGACTAATAGCATGTGCCCTGCATGGTCTGTCTACCCTGCCATTGCCACATAGTGACTACAGGAAGTTGATGGAATATACAGGGCCCCGCCCACAACCTACAGAGGCCGGGGGGCTCTCAATAGGGGGACAGAGTTTCTCTCCAATGTGATGGAATGGGAATATACCTCAAGTCCCTAGAGGGACATTCAGCTCCCGTACGCCACACAGACAGAGCCGGGCCAAATCTGACACGAGGTCAAATAGCCCAGATGTCAACATTGGAATTTTTGCTAACTTTCTTTTTTAATATTGAATAAATTTATGACTTCGTTACCTCCCTTCCTTTCCCCATTTATTTTTTTCGTTCATTAAATATGAAAAAAAGGTTGTACATCAAGTATCTATTTTTCTAAACTTCAAAAGAACTTGATGACAATTTATTTAACTTTTATGTATACAAGATTGAAGGAATATTTCTACATTGCTCTTCAAGTTGTAGTAAATCTTTGTGCTCCCGACACATTAAATATTATTTTGATGAATAAATCTTACTTCAACGCAATGGGTAATTAATGTTAATGAGGAAAGTCCATCATTGAAATCTATACACGACATTTTTAATTGCAATAGTTTGCCAAAAGAAGGCTTATGGAAAAAGTCAAAACAATGGGCCCACTTGATTCATGGAATGATTCTTAAGAATGGGTTGTTGATTTGTGTAATATTTCTTCCATGCAAGTTAAGTACTTCGTATACAGTCAGACTTTGGTTGCCTGGTAAGAGCAAATTGAGCTAGACTGACTTTGCGCTGTTGGCCATGTCACTTTTTCTGTTTTACACATTATATAATTAGGACAATTTGTGTTGATTATTTTTTCTTTCGTATTCCATCAAATCGCAAAACAGAAACATATTACGAAAATTGTTCAAAACTTAAATGTTAGGAATGGAAAAGTGAAGATATTTAACCCATGTTAGAGATTAAGAGACACGTTAATGATAATTAAAACTTACAGGTGATAGAGTTGGTGCTTTCTTTGCTTTCTGAGCTAATTTATAAGCTCCGTCTATGATCAATGATGTCACAAACAGTCCTCCTTCAAACTGAAAGAAAATCGTTTATAAATGTTAACGCTGACCATCAGATGTTACTTCATTGAACAAAAATCAATTTTCTTTAAACTCATAAGTAACTAAATCAAACTATTGAACTGAAATGTGCCCTGCATGGTCTGTCTACCCTGCCATCGCCACATAGTGACTACAGGAAGGTGATGGAATATACAAGGCCCCGCCCACACCCTACTGGGGCCGGGGGGCTCTCAATAGGGGGACAGAGTTTCTCTCCAATGTGATGGAATGGGAATATACCTCAAGTCCCCGGAGGGACATTCAGCTCCCGTACGCCACACAGACAGAGCCAGGCCAAATCTGACACGAGGTCAAATAACCCAGATGTCAACATTGGTATATGCATATACTAACCTGCTTATGTTTAGAAAATTAGAAAATTGAAAAATATCAATACATTATTGACTTTATGATGCGAAGATAACCAACAGATCAAGAAAAGTCCCATACTTTGAAACTCATTGACAACTACCAAGTGATTTTAGAACACTTGCATAATGTTGTACTCTAAATAGATTTTGTGAATTCAAGATATAATTAGGCAAACAGTCCAAACATTTTTTCATGTTTCATAATGATTTGTTGATATAACACAATTTTAAAATGTGGGTCCCCACTTCCCCTCCTGGTTTGTACTAGCTTAATGACGCGTTAAGTTTTGACTTTTAAATTGTGGTGTTTCATTACAATGAAAGAACTTAAAATAAGAAAATGTGGGTCCCCAACCTTGTTTGTACTGTCTTAGTGACAAGTTAAATTTTGACACAATACATATGGTGTCTCACTCACCTGTAAGTATTTGTCATCTACTTCATCAGCTTGTGCAATGATATCCTCGATGCTGTCAAACATCTTATTTTCAGAGGGTAGCTCTGCCGCTACTAAAAATGCATACCCATAACTGTAAAACAAAACATTTTATCCAAAATGAAAATATTTCTCAAACTTAAAAATTGGAATTCTACACTTTAAATTTAAATCAGATATATCATCTATATTTTTTAAAGAAGGCAGGGTTCTGTTAATCTTGACTTCTTCAGAAATGCAACGATTCGCTAATAGTAAAATCAATACATATGTATTTCAAATAATGTCAGACCAAAATGATGTGTTGTTTACATGTAGAAAATTTGATAGCAGATAGGATTCAATCAAGATATTTATCATTACTTTCAGGGATCAATCAAGACTTGATTCACTACTGTTAACGAGTAGTTTCCCATACAGAAGAAAATTCCTGTTCTTTGAAATTCTCCCTATGTGCTACAAAATTCCCCGAGCTCAACAAGAAATATACTGCACACATGAATGTTGTACAAAACATTTATCTTTTACCTTCATGACGCTAGAGCCTTGTTTTAAAAAATTTCATTTCCCCAAAATCTGAAAAAGGGTATATATACTACCCTTATACCTGGATTGATCCCTGACTTTGCAATATTGATAGAGGATTTGCTGAACAATTCTAGACATTTTTACCTTAATGGAGTATCATCTTTTTTGAGAGCTTCTGTTAAAGCTGTGCCAATCTTAGCATTGTCAGCTGTAAAATACAAAAAAGAACTTGTGTCAATATCATAATATCACATCAAGGAAAAATTGGTTAGAATAGAAAATTTTGAGAAATGTTTAGCCATGTGCCCTGCATGGTCTGTCTACCCTGCCATTGCCACATAGTGACTACAGGATGTTGATGGAATATACAGGGCCCCGCCCACACCCTACTGAGGCCGAGGGGCTCTCAATAGGGGGACAGAGTTTCTCTCCAATGTGATGGAATGGGAATATACCTCAAGTCCCCGGAGGGACATTCAGCTCCCGTACGCCACACAGACAGAGCCGGGCCAAATCTGACACGAGGTCAAATAGCCCAGATGTCAACATTGGAATTTTTGCTGATCATAACCTGCTTATTTTTTTCTATAATATGTAACAAATGCTTTAAATATTTTTATGACTTATCAGCTCCCTCCCCTTTCCCATTCAATTGGAAGTTGCCGGTTGGCTATCAATAGGGGGGCAGAGATTCTATCCAATGTGGTGGAATGGGAATATACCTAAAGTCCCTGGAAAGTCCCTTACAAAACATAGCCTTCCTTGGCAGACATTTTTTTTCATTGAGATGGAGGATTCTTTTGAGGAAATATTTACATATTAAACCAATTCCAAGGTATCCATGACGGTTTTACATCAACATACCTTTAAGCCCTAGATTTTTCAGGGCAAAAAATGCTTGGAATATATCCATTACTGGAGCAGTGTCTTTAATGGCTGCTCCAAGGAGGGCTTCTGCCCCAGCAGCTGTCACCTGTTAACACAGAAAGGAGATCTCAAATTTACATTTTGAATTTTATACCAATATCAATAAATGTTTCTGTAATTATGATTAAGGTCATAGGAGTGTATTGATCAACGGAAATAGGAAGTGCATCCCTTGTTGAAAATCCAATGTAGGGAGACAGTATCACAATTTCCGCATATTTTGATGTTTAATATTAAACTGATAAATATTGCATGTTTATTATTGACAAAACAGTGTGTTCTCTCAATGATAAAGTATTTCAAAGCAATCCAGGCATTAATTCAGTTGTTTTTTATCAATGAGTCACATGTGTCCATTTTTCTGTACTTCAGGAACCCCGCTACCTATTTCACTATTGTGAAATCTTTCAAGAAAGATAACTCTTTACATGCAATTACTATATGTACATGGTTTTATTTTAAAATGTCAATTTTTAAACGTTTATAGATGATTAATTTTACACAATTTCAGTATTTATGAAATTGATATACATTAATGCAATACTGATCTATGTCAGTATCATTTTTATTGACATTATTTTGCAAAACATTGTGTCTTTCAAATTTTTTTTCAAAACTCACTCCTTTTTACATAAATTTCATTTCAAATCCTTTAAATTCTGACAACCTATATTTTTTTGTGGCAGAAAATTTTCTTTACTTCAACGCAATATAACTACAAAATTGGAAGAAATTCTACTGAGAAATGGTGACACAATCCTATTACCTTAAAACCAAATTGCTATGTTTCCCAAAAATTTATTTTTAGAAAATATCCAACGTGTACAAGCTTAGATGCATTAAAACAAGTCATTCCCTGATAGTGTCACAGCCTGTATCTGTGGAGATGGTCACAAACCTGTTTTATTATATATATAACTATATTTGCCACAGACAGACAGAAAAACTTAAAGGGCAGTCATATTAATGATATCAATATGGCCCCTACCACCTTAANAGCACTGACGGCCCGACTTTTAAAAACGACTATTGTTGTGCGTAGCAGCCTAAGGGTTAAAACCCCAGGATCCCACCCCTAAATTTGCCAACTCAGTCAGCTTGTTCGAGATATGACTAAGAATATTTTCATGCCATAAACATTTCCCTCCTATTGCGTTCTATCATTTTAAGAACTAAAATAAGTGTAAACATCAATCGAGTTACTTTATTTGAAGACTAATATTGTACATAAACGATCCAGAAAATATTTTTTATGTTTAATGCTGCTGATTTAATGATGTCCTAAATCACAATCCTGTTCGTCTCCCCAAGATGTACTTGTGCAAGAACAGTACACCAGTAAAGGGAAAGTAATTCACCAACAGTGTCAGTTTGGTTTAGTGTTGTTTAACGTCCTATCAACAGCTATGGTCATTCAAGTGTCACAGATAGTATTCACAGTCTGTATCCATGGAGATGGTCACAGACCCTGGCACAAACCTGTTTTATTATCCCCCATGAGTATAACTATATTCGCCACAGATAGACGATACAGGAAAGTTAATGGGGCACCAATATTAACAATATAATATTGCAAAACATATTTTTTTCATGAATTCCTACAGGCCAAAGATTGTTTTTTCCATTACAAGCTAAATTTGTCACATATTTATTATTCACAAGAAAAAAACACAATTTATATTTAGAATTTGCAATAAGCATGTTCTTTCTGCAAATTTGTTACTCCATATTTAAACCTTTCGGCAAAAGTGGTTAGCGGCTTCAATAAGATAAAAAAATCTTCCAAAACAAATTAAACTTCTACAAACTCAGTATATCATTAAGGTTTTCTGTTCCACTGCCCTGTTGTTTTTCTAATATACAGCCGCAGTAACCTCCCCTTAACTTCCGTTTGGATATAACTGTAGAAAAATTGGGCTTGGACACATCAGTTGACCACATAGCTCTATCGGAAAGTTCGATAGTATATCATTCTGAAATCCAGGCTTCGGATCCTGGTTAGCCGGATTTTATTTTTTAAATTCAAAACACTATTTTTTTTATTATATAATTTTTGTATTTCATCTTTATTGTTTTTCATTCAAGTCCTGCAATACATGGTGTTTTTGTTAGAAATGATTTATTAAAGCTATAATCATGCCGGGAAAAAATCACTTATTGCTACAGTATATGGCAGTGGTACAATGATCCTTGAAGGATATCCATTCACCGACAGTGTCACAGATAGTATTCACAGCCTGTATCCATGGAGTTGGTCACAGACCCTGGCACAAACCTGTATTTATTATCCCCCATGAGTATAACTATATTCGCCACAGATAGACGATACAGGAAAGTTAATGGGGCAGTCATATTAATGAAATCATTATGCCAATACTTGTTTTCTTCATGAATTTCTCTGGACAAAAGATCATTCTTTTTTCCCCACTACATGCTAAATTTGCTACATAATTGTTCACAAGAAATTTTCTTTTCAGGAAAAAATGCAATTTAAATAAAGAATTCGCAATAAGCATGATCATTCTGCAAATATTTTACGCTACATTTAAACCTTTCAGCAAAAGTTGTTAGCTGCTTCAATTAAATCTTAAAAACAATTTAACCCCTTCCACCACTGTAGACCATAATGGACTTATCCAGATCAATGCATGGTAGAGTCTGCTAAAGTTTCATTGGGAGTAAAGGGTTAACTTCTACAACCTCGATGTATCATTAAGGATCCCCGTCCTACTACACCCCAATTTTTCCTATAACAGTAACACCCCCTTAACTTCCTTTTGGAAATAACTAGCAGTGATCAATCTACAGTTAGTTTGTATGGGTCTTTTTCCATTTCCACTGTTTAGTTAATAAATATGGGTCCCACAATATTAAATTTCAGTACTTTCAGAAATTCTATTGGTCAAATCAAAATTTTATGCATACAGGACCCAGGATTCGCATGTAGATTTATCACTGAACTAGAGTAATTGGGCCAGGGCACTACCGTTGACCAGGTAGCACAATCAGTTAAGATTGATAGTATAACAATCTGAAGTCCAGGGTTTGGATGCTGGTCTAGCCCCATTTAATTTTGAAACTCTTTACAGTGTTGTAGATTATATTGTGCTTATTTCACCTTTACTGTTTCTCGAAAAAGTCTCACAAGGTCTGGTTTTCATTTCATTAGTGATTTATTAAAGCTAGTCATGCTGGAAAAATACTCTTAGTTATTTTTTGCCAGTGGTCCTTCAAAGGATATACATTCACAGACAGTGTCACAGATAGTATTCACAGTCTGTTTCCATGGAGATGGTAACAGACCCTGGCACAAACCTGTTTTATTATCCCCAATATGTATAACTATATATTCGTCACAGACAGACGATACAGCAAAGTTATTGGGGTAACAATTTTTTCTCTCAACAAATTTTAACTTAATTTTTTCAGATGCAGGTATATATTTATGTGCCTCTATATTCACTAGTCAGAACATAATTCATATATATTATAAATATCACTCTGTATTATATTTTAATGAAAAAAGAAAAGAAATACCCTCGATTTAGAATTTCAAGATTTATATCTGCAACTAAAATTATCATTGCAGAATTCTACTTGTAAAGCTTTCATGATAATTTTTTTTAACTAATGTAGCAGAACTTATACGATCATCATCCAATATAACAGAGGTTGATCCTGCCAAACTCTGCATTCATCTTCCCCGTGCGTAAAAACGGCATCCCTGATACATAGAGGTACCAGGAATGAGACCACGGGGAACAAAAATTCAATATATTTTTTGAAACTGGCACATACCTTTAAGCAAACTATGTTCATTTTTGGAATATTATTGCCGAAATATTCCTCACCTATTTCCTGAGAGTACATTTTTTTGTTTTTCTGAATATTCAACACGATGTTGTCCAAACAAGTTGACTTAATAAGCCTTGTGTATCATAATTTGTCTTTATCTATTCTCCTTTCATTTGCTCAGATGTTCATTCATGTTATTATGACGAATAGATGATAGTTTTACAAGTAAATTTTGATTAACTGAAATTTCTATAAACTTGCAAATGTTCCTAGTGGCCAATATTTTATTTCCATCCCAGATGGCTTCAATTGGCGACACAAAAAAAGTTTTGGCGGGGGGGGGGGNAAAACTTCCCATAGAACAGTTATATTAACAATCCGATTTTTACATTAAGAATATGGTCGACTGATGGTCGAGATATAGAGGTATACAAAGAGATCTGCAAGCTTTAAAAATACCAGTCATTATTTAACTAAATATTGAATATTTTTCAATAACTTCCATATAAATGTCAAAACATTTGTAACAAAAGCTAATGTCGCAGAACTTATACGATCATCATCCAATATAACAGAGGCTGATCCTGCCAAACTCTGCCTTCATCTTCCCTGTGCGTAAAAACGGCATCCCTGATACATAGAGGTACCAGGAATGAGACCACGGGGAACGAGAATTCAATAATCAGTCAAAAAAATGTTTGACACTGAAGCTGGAAGTAACCATCTGGAAATTTTGATTATGGTCTGGGTTTTAATCATTTTTTTTTAATTTTAAGTATACTCTAGCTGAAATATCTCTCACCTAATTAATGGAGTACATTTTTGCCTTCATAATATTCAACATGATGTTCAAAACTGTTGACCTTACAAGGCTAATGTATTATTAGTCATTATTACCTATTCTCCTTTCATTTGCTCAGATGGTCATTCATGTTAATTACGACAAATGGAAGCTTGTTTTGCAAGTAAGTTTGTGTTAAAGTGAAATTTTCATGCCCTTGCCATGTTTTCGTAGTGGTTAGAATTTTATTTTTTAAAGTCCCCCGTTACAATTTCGAGCCTATTTTTCACATCATGAATATGGTTGACTGATGTAAATGATATAAAAAATAAATCTGGTGTTGAAAGTCCTATTTAATTTTGTTGGCTCTAAAAATGCCAGTCATTGTTTAACTAAATACTGAATATTGTTTATAATAATTGTGTAGCAGAACTTATACGATCATCATCCAATATAACAGAGGCTGATCCTGCCAAACTCTGCCTTCATCTTCCCCGTGCGTAAAAACGGCATCCCTGATACATAGAGGTACCAGGAATGAGACCATGGGGAGAAAAATACACTTCATGAAATGTTTGTCACTGTAACTTGTAGAACACAAACATGTAAAGAGTACTGTCTTGTTGTATTTTTTGAAGGAAAGGACATTGGGCCAAAGGACATGAGATTGTTTATGAAAAAATCTGTTAATACATTTTATCTATTTTACATTAAGAATATGGTTGATTGTTGTTAGAAATATAGCGATAAGTTAAAATTGATCTGGTGCTGCAAATCCCATTTAATTTTGTTGGCTCTAAAAGTGCCCCGGCTCTAAAAGTGCCAGTCATTGTTTAACAAAATTCTGAATATTATTTCACAGAGCTTTTAACTTTCATGTAAACCTCAATCCATTTTCAACAACAGCTTATAATAATTGTGTAGCAGAACTTATACGATCATCATCCAATATAACAGAGGCTGATCCTGCCAAACTCTGCCTTCATCTTCCCCGTGCGTAAAAACGGCATCCCTGATACATAGAGGTACCAGGAATGAGACCATGGGGTAAAAAAATATACTGCATGAAATGTTTGTCACTGTAACTTGTAGAACACAAACATGTAAAGAGTACTGTCTTGTTGTATTTTTTGAAGGAAAGGACATTGGGCCAAAGGACATGAGATTGTTTATGAAAAAATCTGTTAATACACTTTTTTATCTATTTTACATTAAGAATATGGTTGATTGTTGTTAGAAATACAGCGATAAGTTAAAATTGATCTGGTGCTGCAAATCCCATTTAATTTTGTTGGCTCTAAAAGTGCCCCGGCTCTAAAAGTGCCAGTCATTGTTTAACAAAATTCTGAATATTAGTTCACAGAGCTTTTAACTTTCATGTAAACCTCAATCCATTTTCAATAACAGCTTATAATAATTGTGTAGCAGAACTTATACGATCATCATCCAATATAACAGAGGCTGATCCTGCCAAACTCTGCCTTCATCTTCCCCGTGCGTAAAAACGGCATCCCTGATACATAGAGGTACCAGGAATGAGACCATGGGGTAAAAAAATATACTGCATGAAATGTTTGTCACTGTAACTTGTAGAACACAAATATAGCAAGACTGTGTATTATTTTAAAGACCAGGGACTGAAGCTGAAAAGCATTCCAAAACATTTTCCTTTGTCAACTTTACAATAAAGTACAAATTTCTGAGATTTGGTTTTATTTGTTTCATATCCTATCAATAGCTAAAGGTCTTTTAAGGACATGCCTCCATGTGTGTGGTGTATTCGTGCTTGCATGTATGTGTGCTCAAGTCAGGATGTCGGAGAATAGTGTCTTGTTTTGGTGTATCAGGGTAGTTTATACACAGACATACCAAAGTATTTCACACTTCCATGAAGTTGTCATAGGTTCTATGGAGAGAAAAAATCCCAAAATTGTCTGACTACCACAAGAAAAGTTGCGTGACATGTTGTCCCATAATCTGTGTTTTTACCTTGCAGTTGCCAAGGGCCGCTGCTGCTGCAGATGCATGGTAAAGTGATGCCACATCATCTGGTTGGACCAAGGAGGTGACAGTCTTGCATGTCTCCTGTAATACAATAATACAAAAAAATCTTCTTCACTGTTGGAATAACACAGGTTTCCAACATTAGAACTTCTCATAGGTCTCAATTAACGGAACAGCTACCAAAAAATAAATATTTATGAAAACTTTCAACAGGGAATACAAAACTTTTATCAGAGTGTTGACATCAGATACATTATTTTTAATAAAATCTTGCAATATTATGTTTTAATTTCTATAAAAAACAACTCTGTCAAAGTAACCCCTCCAAGAAGGCTTAAACAATATTTCTATGACTGCATGACTAAGCTATGGTAATAAAAGTGTAAGGAACCTTTGCATTAGCAACAGGAGATCCTAGCAATTTCAGCCCAAGAATGGAGTAATGGGCACTGGCTGCATCTGTGTAGGGCTGGGCAGCCTTGAACACATTGGTCAGTCTCTTCTGGTCAACCGTGGTTAGGAATGTAGATGGTGTCAAGGCCTGACCAACTATGGCCACCGCAAATAAATAAAGTATGGACGTAGCTGAAGAAGAGAGAGGTAAAACATTGTTAAAATAAGCTCTGCAGAACGAAAGTCAAATCATGCAAGGAAACTGGATCACAAAAATACCGGTTATGAACATGCATTTTTGTGAACCATTCTCGGTTTAAACACCGCATATGCATTGCTGCAATTTCTTGTCCAAAATGCATTCTACTGTTTGAAGCTAACATTTCAATCACACAGGCAAACGGGGATGTTTTCCACGCTAGTAATATAATTTTATTTTTTCTACACGATTCACATAATTCATAACATTTTAAAACCTCCCAGTTAAACTTTAAACGCAATTATTTCTTCAGCATTTTTCGTGCCGACATTTTCAAAGTTTTTATATTGGAAAACCGGTTTTGAAGGTGTAAGTCATAAAACTGAGATTTGCAAAAGGCATGGTCATGTAAAAGATAAAATCTAGTAAGAGAAAATAGTTTCCGACTGTGTCTGATAACCAAGAAATGTTTGCAACGTATCGGGACCATTTAGTTTGTAACACGTGGCAATATGAGAATAATGGCGGCCCGCCGCATCGGCGATGCCTCACAAAAACTGCTCTATTTAACTCAAAACATTTTGTTCCAACTACATACTGATGTAGATTTGAACACCATGTACAACAGCGCTTGTTGCCTCCTTATGTATAGGTGCATATACATAGTACATGTGAATTTCCCTGCAAAGTGCCGGCACCTAACTTACCTCCTGCCATCTTGCAAGGTGGCGTCTACCTTCGGAAAGACTCTTGATAGATCGTTAGATTTCCTGAGATTTTGCAAAGGTGGCGTCTACCTTCGGAATGACTCTAGATATATCATTAGAACAACGTAAAAGGCGCCCTCTTGTGGATTTTTATAGGGGCGCGAAATTTTAAGATACATAATAGCTTGGCGGCATTTTTCTATCCGTCACGGCATCTTTCATAATACCACCACTGTGGCCTTCGATATCAACCGTTAATGGCGTTATCCGTTTCCTTTCACTTGACCAGCCGCCTGTAACTTGTTGTGTTGATGGACTGCCCACAGACTTCTATTTTAGAAATATCTGCATTGGAAACTTTTTTTTTTTTTTTTTTTTTTTTTTTTTTTTTTTTNTATTCCATATGCCGATTTTAAGAGTTATAATCATAACAAAACATCTTGCGGTTTTCACTAACTTACTCTGCCACAACTCTCCGGCTTAGTGATACTACGGAATTAGATTAGGTTATCTAAGTCCGTGGTGATACGTCTCGGGAGTGTTCGCCCATTCTCACTTCTGCGCCATTAACCGAAAATCATGTCGCATGATCCTTTCACATCCTATTTTAGTTTGGTTAAAATTCACATGTTTTCTTTCATAGTTTAAGTTTACTTATGTCTAAACAAAACTTAATTAATTCAATATAAATATTTTCAACTAAAATATGTAAATGGTTCTATAATTGTAGCTTCTAACAAAGATACTCTAGATGCTAGTTTTGTTTCGTCGGATTTTGATGGGAACAATGTAATTAGACCTATGAAAGAAAAAGTGTGGGATATGTGAGGATAAGGGATCACATCACTTGGAAAATGTGTAACATATATGTTCACTTTGGTCACGTTTCTGTTTTGGTGCATTATTTTCCCAGATAAAATCGACTTGGTTATGCTAATTATTATTAACTCTGCAGGCAAATTTACACCATCCATGAAGGAATTATCAAATAAATGCTTGAAAGTATATTTTTTTCAATTGAAAAATATTTTGAAAACATTGCTAATTTCCCAATTGCTGCACAATGTAGACTTTTCTCTGACCTTGTCAAACCAATTTAAACCTACAATGCTGAAATTTGTTACATGGATATGTATCAAAATAAAGAAATGCTAAAATGAAAGCACAAAAAATAACCAACACTTTGATAACTTTCCAATCATTGACAAGTCACCCATTGAACAAATTCATCTTAGGTTCTGTAAGCTGGCCCTAGGGTTACCCAAGAGGGCAGTAAACATTGGGTCAAGAGCCGAGTTAGGACAGTATCCTATGCAGGGGCGGGTCCAGGTGGGGGTGTAATGGGCGTACGTCCCCGCCCCCCCCCCTCCCCCCTTTAAAAAATAATTAATATCGTAATCTGCTAATATTGTATTGAATATGGCAATTTATCATATTCATTAATTAAACACATAAACACCCTGACACTTTAACTATAAAATATACATGCTCCAAGTCAGGAACCGTTACATTAGTGCATTTCACAATTATTTTATGATTTTTTAGCAAAAAAAAGGTCCTTTTTTTTTTTAAATGTTTTTATTCTCGCCCCCCCCGTTTTTCAAATATCCTAGAAACGCCCCTGCTATGGACATCCTAATTAATGTTCAAGCATGTAAGTATCTAAGTAGAATTTTACAAAATAACAATATAAATCCCTTAGTTACAGAATCTTTAACACTCAATAGAATAGAAGATAAGAGTGGTGTTTATTCATGGTATAGTTACACCAAAGACGTGCTTGAGACAAATGGGCTTCATGACTTAAGGAATGCTCAGAACCTTATCTGCAATAAAAAATTGAAACAGAGAATTAAAACTAGCATTTTAAACGAATTTGAAAATAACTCTTTCAGGAAACTACAAGCGATGACAGATAAAAATAAATTAATCTTGTATAAAGATATTAGAAAAAATACACACAAGGAAAATTAAGAATTTTGTATACAAAATTCAGATTGTGTTAGCATAAGATTCAGTTCAAGTTCTTTGTTACTGTAAGTCGATTGACTTATCAGTTATAACATATGTACAGAACAATACAGAGACAACATACAATATGATACACACACACATACACACACTCACACACACACACACACACACACACACACACGTGGAGAGTGAACACTAACAATCAGCTCAGATCTCCTTTTGTTTGCTTGTATTAAAAAATTGCCAAGATTTCTAATGTAGGATACATTCTCACAAGTAAGTAGTTGAATCAATTTATACATGCTTCTATGTCTTACATAATATTTCTTAATTAGTTTCAACCTTATATCAATATAGCAAGGACATTTTAAAATGAAATGGAACTCATCCTCGACATCATTCAGGTCACATACTGTACACAATCTGTTTTGTCTTTCAGTTCTATTATATCTGCCACACTCGATATTTAACTTATGTGCAGACATTCGAATTTTACAGATGAACTGGCAATAGGAAGATCAAGAAAAAAACTAGAGAGCAACGAGTATGTAAAAAAATGATTGTTCTACAAGATTAAGAACACTTCTTCTTCAGGTGTGGCTATAAAGCACAGCTGAGAAAGGACTATTTAAGTAAATATATTCAAAACTATTCTATACTCGACACAAATACTTTAACACATATTTTATCTTTTGACAATATGCAACTTATACTTGACTCGTGCTTATATATAAAACAGTCACCTGAACTGAGGAGTGTGGGCCTGGCTTCTGTGTAAGTGTATATATTGTTCACTATTGCAGTTTCTTTGTATATTTGTTGTTTTGTTATTTGCCTTCAAGTTACTCTATAACTATAAATGAGCAATACAATTATTGAATCTAATTTAATTGAAATATACGATCAGAAAAAAACATGTTAGCATTTGTTGCACGTATCTGTTTTACGGACAATGACCTGTTGGGAATGGACACTTCTGTTTTCATGCAACAGAACACTTCCGGTTTATAATCCTACACATGTTACTTTTTTGGGAAAAAGATAACAAAATGTTCGCAATGCAAAGTTCATTTTCAAGTTCACCAGTGTTCAAGCGCCAACTTCGCAGTGAAACAACAACAAATACATAAGGTAAGCGTGTTCATTTTTAATATATTCCAAGATGAACATTTCATATTTGAGTAAATTACAATTCCTAACCGATCCCATTATAACACCAAATCAACACAGACGACGTCAAACGACATATTGTATTACACATATAATGGACATCTCCGAAATACAGGGGTTCCAATCTCCATATAGAGTGATATCTTATCTACATCCCTAGCATATGTCGAAGGCTCTTTACAACACACCCATCCTAGATACCACAGGGGTAACGCCAAGGTGAGGAAGGCAATGGATTCTGTCCCTAGGCCGGGAAACCAAAGTCTTTCAAAATGGTAGTTGTCATAACTCTGCTAAACGACTGGTTCCCCCGTTGTCATTATAATGTGACCGGGCGGAATGCTGCTCTGGGTGCCTTCGGCATGGTATTTCAGTGAGATAGCACTATAAAGTCGGCATCAGATCCGCGCTATCACATGGACCTTAGCTATTAATAGAACGTTAAACAAAATAAAACCAAACCAAACGCTCACTTTCGCTCACTTCAGCCCTGGTATATGTCCAAGCAAAATCGAAGGCTCAGTGTGTGCCACCTTGTGGATGAGACAAGACGACTCGTTTGACCCTTTGCTGTTTATCAAAATAATCTCGCGGTCGCATAACGGTAAAATTGACTGACTTTGAAGTCGGGTGTCGCTCCTCTAATCTTGAAAGGACAAATATCAGCCTAGCGAATTGGTAAGGTTTTCCCCCGTAATCATGCAATAGGTAACTGTGTGCCTTTGATTTTGCATGACATATTCCAAAGGTCTAATAAGGTAAGTGAGTGTAATCACTGGAATATATGAACATGACCGTTAGTTAGACCAATCAAATAGCTAGCCGCGTGCTTTCAACTTTGCTATGACATATTCCAGGGGCGCAGAGAGCGAAAATTAGCGTAACCCTGGAGTATCGAAGATGCACGACACGTTGAATATGATACAAGAAGACTCATTGGTCTTTGATGAAGAGTAAAGGAATCGTGGGGCAGCGTAACGGTCAAATCTGAAGGCTTTGAAATTGGGAGCAGATCCTCTGTAATCTTCAAAGGACAGGTGGGAGGCTATTAATTTTTAGTTTCTACCTGAAAGCAACCTTACACCAGCGACATGTTTCAAGGGTGCAGCAAAGATACGTGAATCGAGATCGTAACTCTTGGATTTCAAAAATGATACGGAATTAGTCGTTTATTCTTAATTATTAATGGACTATAGTTGCTAGAAATTAAACAAAAATTCCCATATATAACAACGCATTCTATTTTTTTGTTGTATTCATTTTATATAATGCTCACTTATTGCATTAGGTATATGACAAAACCTAGATACAATGTCACTCGTTCCGTTTTCCACATTTACTGCCAACAGATTTCAAAGTCCTTTTTTAACTATCTGATGTGACTACATTTAATAAATATTATAATATATTTTACCTATATGTTTGCTTTTATATGGTCTTTACCAAATTAAGCCTGGGAAGCCTTAGTAAAGGCGGTCTTTCTTGTAGTCTCGTTTAACAAGGTGCTTGATCACTTGTAATTCAAGATTCGGCGAAGCTTGCACAGACAACAAGAGGCTGGCTGTTCGGCGTAGCTTGCGCAGACAACAAGAGTCTGGCTGTTCGGCGTAGCTTGCGCAGACAACAAGAGTCTAGCTGTTCGGCGTAGCTTGCGCAGACAACAAGAGTCTGGTTGAACGAGACTACCCTTTTTATGAAACAATTCATAAATGTATTTTTGGAGTGACTAAATTAGAAAGATTTTTGGAGTGACTAAATTAGAAAAGATTGTAATGTAAATATTCTGAAAAAAATAAAACAAATATATACAAAAATATATGTTCATTACTACGATACTAAAAGGCACACTGTTAATGATCAGTGCCACAGGTGCCGAACACTCTAATATGATGTGTTTATATACACATATCAGTGTGTCCAGCGCCTGTGATCAGTGCTTGTCACTTTTTTACAGCATATGGCACCACATAAGCACAATAAAATAAATGAAATATGAGAAAATACGTTGAAAATAAGATGAAAATATTAGGTGCGTGTTTACACGCAAAATGTACAAACATGTGACATGATTACAAGTGGTAGAATCAGTAGGATGCAGCATAGGATGATATTTTGGAACGATGAAACATTAAAAAATGGGTTTGATCTAACATTCATACTATGTTTACTAATTCAACAGTCGCGTCACAATCTAGCCCGAGTTTCCTCTGACCATGCAGGGCCGCTTTCGTTTATCGCGATTCGAACGGTTGAACCGGTTGGACCATTGTTGTTCGTTTATGAAATAAGGTCGGACCTAATCGTAATCTGATGCTGTTTTCAGGCGAGCTTTGACAAAGCCTTGCAAGGTCCGCCAGTATCTATACCTGAAATTGATATATTCAAAAACAGACGAACCGGTTGTTCCGCACATTTTGACAGATCTCCGAGTTTCCACTAGGCCCTGACAACAGACTGAGACATTTTGACAGATCTCTGAGTTTCCACGGGCCCTGACACCAGACTTAGACGTTTTGACAGATCTCCGAGTTTCCACTGCATGGGCCCTGACACCAGACTTAGGCATTTTCACGGATCTCCGAGTTTCCACTGAGCCCTGACACCAGACTTAGACATGTCTTGTGTCAGGGCTGAAGGAAACTCGGACTAGGCACAATCTTCATATAAAACATTTACTAGCATAACCAAACAGTGATGAAGGTCGTATCTGTAAAGACGTTACCATGGTGATGCATTTATTTGATGTTGTTTTTTTTACAGGTGGTGTACATGATGTAAACACATTTATTTTTAATTAAAATACAATATTTAAATAAAAGAACCCTGTTTGCTCTAAAATCAAAACATTCAAAGAATAATGGTTATTAGAAGCACTACACTGCTTTTTGTTGGCATTCATAGTCAATATGAATGCCAACCGGAAACTTACAAATTCAAATATGAAGTTAAGAATTCTTAGTTTCCTGTAGACATTCATATGTTGTCTGTGAATTTCAGCTGAAAACAGTTCCATGTTTAAGTAAAACACGAGATAGTACACATTGAAAAATAAATGAAAACAATAAGGTATTGTTATAACAAGTATATGTCACCCTACAATATAACCTATTTGGAAAGTAAGAATTATAAATCTTTAACAGCGAGCTCTGAAAGAGAAACGAGAGAACCGTAAAAATATAGCTTTATACAGTGAAGATAGCTTTAATTCATCTATCCCACACCATTCCAGAAACGTTTTTCACGGACGTGATATCTGTATTACATAGATCCAGACTGAACTATAGACTTGATGATTATATTTACTTTTTGCAGTTTCAAGAGTCGCAAAGCATTCCAACATTTCCACCTGCGAAAATCTCCACTTTTAAAGCAAGCAATTACGAAGAATGAAAAATATCTTTTTTTCTACGTTGTTTGATCGTATATCCAGGCTTACACCACAGTTCTATTGTCCCTGGCTTGGTATTAACCAACATACCCTTGGTGTTTACGGTATAACAAACGCATACGTATAATATGTTACCGCTGATAAGCCCAGTCTATCCATTTGTTCAACACTAGAAACCGTCTTCACTTGTTATCTAGGTTTCTTGCTTCTGTTCCTCCGCTTCAGCTTTTACTTCATATTCTGGTTTTCGTATACTGGCGAATATGTCAACCTCTCCAGTGAAAGCGGTTATAAACTCTGAAACACAAAGACAGGTATTTCTAAACATTTTCTTCATCTTAATCGAGATGAGGGGGCTCATTAGACTCTCTCACAACTATAACCAAGTATTTAGTAGCTGAATCGAGTCATTTCGGTAGTACATATATATAACAACACATTGTTTATATGCTTACAGCGTAGCCGAATCGACATAGATTTGTGGACAGCTCGTACATATTTTACATCTTTTGTGTATTTTGGTTTGTTTGTGTTTTACGTCCTATTAACAGCTATGGTAATTGAAGGACGTGCCAGGTTTTGGTGGTGGAGGAAATCCGGAGTTCCCGGAGAAAAAACCCACTGACCGACGGCCAGTACCTGGCGACTTCCCCACGTAGGTCTCGAACCATTCGAGTACATACGCTACACTGGTCATTTGTCTGATGAATGTGACAGAGTACATACCGTACTAGTCATCGCAACGTCACATATAAACACTTGTTGGTTGTGCTGCATGAATCTTTTCACAAAACAAAGACAGGTATATATTAAAGTATACTTACCACATTTTCATTATAAAGCCCATGTATAATTTTATACTTGTAACAACATAATAGCAACCCTACTTGTAAAGTTAAATGTCATTAGTAACATATACAAGCTTCCCTTGTTTTAAGCTTTTTTTATATATACAACCGTTGAAAGGAAAACAGCCGCGAAAATGATTTTTTCCCCCGAAAATTAGATGAACTTGTTGCGGTAGAAAATGTAAGTTTTTTTTTTTAACTTTCATCGATTCATCCGGTAGACACCTGACATGACATGTAAAATTGCCTTCAAGATACTCACTATTTCCTTAATTCACATTTTAATTGCATTTTAACTAGCCTTTTTGTTATTTTAAAGGCCATTCGAAATTAATTTAAGCAAAAATTTCATGTAATATATTTGATGTCAAAATGACACTTACGGTTGAATGGTCGTCATGACCCAGTTTTGTTGGGTTATGAAAGCTGAACAACCACATTTGTATGTTCATTTGAAATTTATCTTGATGATAATTATCATAAAAATTCTTCTAATGGTGTGTTTGAATTAAATTAACATATATAGATAGCTGCAATTTAGACAAATATGCCACGACACTACACAATTTCCAATCTGATTAAAATCAAATCCTACATCCGATGGGAGTCAATATTATATTCTATACTTCGTGTGGAGTCCACATCGGGTGTAGGATATTATTCAAAACAAATAACAGAATTCTTTGCACAAAGTTTGTATATCTACTCTCAAGGAAAATGCAATATATACAAATTATTTACAAAAGGAAAATAAATATTTTTGACATCACATCGTAAATCAGAGTGTGTTTCCGATTAATATCAAATGATCAGGATTATTGCTATTTTATTGCTACTATATTTTCGGTCTTTAAGAAACCGGTGAAGATGCGCAACAAGATAGGCGATACATGGGTCCACTGTTATGGGTACATTGATACGTAATGCACTACTATCAACGAGGCCAGGTAGGAACACATAAACATAGCAAGATTTTAGGATTTAATTGTTTCACGCAGACACACATTAGAGTATTACAAGGGGTCACATGTACACAGCGAAATATCACAATTTGTAAAACATTAATTCATTCACCCCTAGAGACGCATTTGAACTCTTCCAATTCATAAGTTGGAATAGTTCATTATGAAATTTTAGGGGTTAATGAGCTAAAGTTATACAATCATCTTAAAGAAAAATGTAGGGTTAGAGAATTGCTGATATCAAATGTTCAGTGTTAACATTTTTTTTAAGTTCCAAAGGCACCTGACAAGTGAATAATTGAACGTTGAAATCACAAATAGCTTCGGACTGAATACCAAAAGAATAATTTAGAAAAAATTAACTGCCTATGAAAATTCATTTGTTAAGTAATAAATATACAAAATATCTATAACATATTAATAATAACTGACACGGTAAATAGGAGACACTATACAGACCATCCCGGAAATTAAAACAGAATATTTACTATATAGAATCCGCTGGTATATGCTAAATCCGTATAAAGGTAAGGCTGGTATGTTTCTGCTGAGTGAAGAATCGAAACGATCGTAAAGGTGACGTCACGTTTGCATTTCTGTCATGATGTATGTTAGTGTCAAGATATGAAATTAAAAAGATAAAAATCTGGGCCCGGATAGTCAAAGTATTATCAGCTTAAAGAGTCATTAACGCAAAGTTTTTAAATTTGATTTTGAGGACTACGTAAAAAACACAAATACCTGCTGATCATCTTAAGTCTTAATACACACATGTTTAGTTTTCAATTTCAATAGTTTTGAAAATATTCTGGTTCAAAATATGGATTAAGTTACTGTCAAGTAAACAAGGCTCGATGTATCTCTAAAGTAAGTCAATCTGGTCTGAGGTATCACAAAAGTAAGCTAACAAGAAGCTTAAGGTATGTCTAAAGACAGCTAACCAGAGACTTGAGGTATCTCTAAAGTAAGCTTACCAGGACTGAGGTATCTCTACAGTAAGCTAACCAGAGACTTGAGGTATCTCTAAAGTAAGCTTACCAGGATTGAGGTATCTCTACAGTAAGCTAACCAGGCTTGATGCACTTTAAAGTAAGCTAACCAGGCTCGAGGTATCTCTACAGTAAGCTTACCAGACTTTAAGTATCTTTAAGTAAGCTAACTAGGCTATAGGTATCTATTAAGAAAGATAATTAGGCCTGATGTATCTAACATGGCCTGAGATATCTATTAAGTAAGCTAACTAGGCTTGAGGTATCTCTACATTAAGCTAACCAGGCTTGATGTATCTCTAAAGTAAGCTAATCTGGTCTGAGGTATCTCTAAAGTAAGCTTACCAGGCCTGAGGTATCTCTCTCTAAAATAAGCTAACCAGGCTTGAGGTATCTATTCAGTAAGCTAACCAGGCTTGAGGTATCTCTTAAATAAGCTAACTTGGCTATAGGTATCTCTAAAGACAGATAAAGCTAACTAGGCTAGAGGTATCTCTCAAGTAAGCTAAACAGGCCTGAGGTATCTCTAAAGAAAGCTAACTAGGCTTGAGGTATCTCAAAAGTAAGCTTACATTTCCACTTTGTCAGTACACATTAAATTAATATGGCCCCAATACACATACATTTTGCAGAATTCATTTAATGACTTTTACCTTCTAGATCAATCTTGCCGTTATTATCGGTGTCCACAACTTTGAAGAACTTGTCGACGTCCTCTTTACTGAATTTTTCACCTGATTCGCCTTTAATGGCGGCGTTAAGTACGGAACTAAATTGCCTCTTGTCAAGGTAGCCTCTCCGGCGCCGATCGAATTTGCGGAATGCCTGAGCCACGTTGTCCCGTTCCTCGTCCTGGTCAATTTTCCACATTAAACTCTTAAACTCGTCATAATCGATTGTTCCTGATTCTGTAAAAGAAATAAGTGAAATTTAGCTGTACGTGTTATTGTAATAGAAGCCCAAAAGTTTCAGTGTGCCGACTTACTGTAAAATTGGTAATTTTCGCGTGCAGAAATGTTTGCTGTGTGACTCTTTTACTTGATCGTGTCGTCTGTCGTATTTATCGTCTATCAAAAGATTCACTTCCCACACGGACTCAAAAATAGAACAACAACTAATTTTGAGGAAATCACACAAGAGCGACCTGGCAGAGTGCCTGAACCGTTTATGTATTATATGTTTTAAAAACAATGTTCAGCGTGGTGCAACTTCGACACCCTACATCAAAGCCTGTCAATTTTACCGTTACGCTGTTGCGGGATTCTTCTGATATACACCAAATGATCACACTGGTCTTCGTCGTCTCATCCACAATTTGGTTTTATTTTGTTTAACGTCCTATTAACCACTAAGATCATTTAAGGACGCTCATCCACAAGGTGCAACCTGAACCTTCGATTTTGTCATGACAGATTTAAGGGATGCAGAAAGCATAAGTGAGCTTAACCCCTGGAGTATCGAGGATGGTTGAAATGAGTGTTTCTGATGTATCAGATACACTGGTCAAAGATTGTGATGCCTAGTAGGGAGGGGTGAGGTTTCAGGGTTATTTGCTATTGCAATTGATGTGATAGTATGCGTACTGCCGAGTAAATCTGTTGTTTCATACACAATGACTACTGACAGACATGAGGCAAAAAAGTTATGTTTCATGTACCCCGACCGATCCTAGTTTTACCTTCCGACACTAACAATTTTCTCTCACTTGCATGCTATTAAACGTCCCGTTTGAACACGCAAAAAACCCCACACAACGTAAGCGTCTATATGACACCTCTGTATATCATAAGCAGGTATCAGAACCAAATTTAAATCCCATATTATTATTTAAGGGACCTAAAAATATAATAAAAATGAATGCAATTGGTCTTAATTATTCTATATCTATATTTGGTTACATTGGTAATTTTTTAAATTAGCCCCCACTCAAGGTAAAGAAAAACAAAATATAATGAAAATAAATCACGACAGACCAACCCTTTTGTCAGTCATTTTACCAGAAACATACATACGTTTTGTTGGCCTAACTTGTTCAATGATATTTTGAAGGATCGACAATCTTCTTTTAACTGAATATACAACAACTGATATTAAATATCCTTACCATCGATATCGAGGTCTTTCATTGTCTGTTTTATATCTTCCTCCGTCGGATTCATATCAAACATATGATATCCTTTCATTATCTCCTCCTCTGTTAGCTGACCATCCCCGTCAATGTCAAACATTTGAAAGATTGCTTTACATTCTGCAACACATAAGTACATAAAGAACGTCAACAAAACCGTTATTCGAACTCAAAATCGATAAAACTAGGGCAAAATATGAATTAAGTTTTTTTTTATATGAAGAACTTTGAAAAAGTACACGGAGAATGAGACCAGATGTACCGGAAGAGCATCGTCTTCTGCTTCATCGACACCGCCTGACATGTAAATTTAAGTAAAAACTTGTAATGGCACGTCCTCAAATAAGAAACTAGGGAAGTGAGGACAAAAGGTTTTCATAAGTGTTACATAGTATTTTACGTTATGATAAGTATATAAAATCATTCTGCTATATAATGACATTATTTAAATTATCACATTGCTCGATTTGTTTGTAGCGCCAACTTCAAGAACAAAAATCGAAACTTATCAATAAGATTATAAACAATACCATCATTCCGCTATGTGATGATATTATTTCGATTTGCTGTAGCGCCAACTACAAGAATAAAATCACCTAGAGGATTTTTACTCACTGGTCTTGTTTTATACAAGCCTATATGATTGTAACATGCATTCCAGCTGATAAGATGTCAACCAAATATCCCGTTTGATATAAGACTGCCATATTCTCGGCGTACTAGATACACGCGTATGATATTGAAAAATACCTGTCTTTTTACATGAACCCCACCCCCCAAGAGAATACCTAGGTGTCATCAAAACCTTAATTCGAACTCAAAATCGATAAAACCAAAGCAAAAAATAAACAAAGGAAAGATTTACATGGAAACCATTGAAAAAAACAGGGATAATAAGACCTGGGCCCGTATTCATGAAGCCGTTCTCATTCTGCAGCATGGAATTTGTGCGCTCAAGCCTAATTTCTTGTTCTGGTTTATAACTCAATATATAAATCTTATTTTGTCAATGATTTGGAAACATTGTTACAAGAAAGTTGGTTTGAGCACAGATTCCATGCTTGAGCACTAGAACGGTTTCATGAATACGGACCCAGGGTGTTCTGAAGGGTAAGCGTCTTCTGCTTCATCAAAGACGCCTGTCATGTAAAGTCCTTTAAGTCTATAACATTGCCACATACTTGTCGTTCTGATAATGCAAACCTGTAGGATTGTCGTTTACTTTTCCTGATGAATACATGTCTATAGGCTTTACACATATTTATCATGTTAGACGTTGAAATCCTATAAGATTTTAACCCACTTTTTATGTCTGATATCATATTTTCCTCACATCCTAATTGGTTGTATTATAAACACGTGGAGGTCGGTGATTTGTGATGCTGACTTGGTGTTACTATTTTTAGAATCAGCAGGTCAGTATTCACTTTATGACGTCATTTCAATTGTAACGTCAAAATGCTCTCTGTCAAATTCAGTACTTTCCTCCGTACAATTTTCATACGTTCCATCTTGTTTAATGATTTAAACATTCTTAAGCATCTAATATAACAATTAAAGAATGTTCTTCGGCGAATATGTGGATTTATTGACCCGAGAAAGTGATATTGACCTCGACTTTAACTCGGTCAATAGCACTATCTCCGGTCCACATAACCACAAATTCACCTCAACAAACGTCCATAATTGTAAAAGGCTTTATAATTTCCACCTACTTGTTTAGAAACAAGGATATTTTTGACACATATTCGTCCTTTTTAGATTCAAGCATACAAATAGTCATTTATCAGAACTTTTAGATACAATCCTAAGGGATTGTCACATACTTGCCATATGAAATACAAACCTATATGATTGTAGCTATATTATGAAACCAATGCCATTGATATTGGATTATTGACGTCACAGAGATATGACATGAAGCCAAATACGAATACAATAGTCTATTGTAACAGTATATGCTTTTCATTTATAAAATAACACCTGGAATAAAAACTTAACAATATTTTTTGTCAGCTTTAAATTCGATTACAATTTGTTTAATAACGTGTTACAAATGTTCCTTATGTTTTTTTTAATATCAACACATATGGTTGTGATATTGTCTTCGGTCATGCTAACCATACTTTGAAAAAACCCACATTGTGCTGTATACGTAGCATTTATTAACTAGACCGTTCTTTGTAGTCCTTGTTTGACCCATATTATACGTTTGAAATCAATTACATGTGGAATAAAATCCATATGACATCATTATATTAATTATTTGCCAAAAAAGGACCAAAAGCTAACGATAAGATATGTACATTCATGTTAAATGTTTCACATTTTTTCAAAATCTTATAATATCGTTATATTATTTTTTTGGCAGAGAGGAGTAAAAACTCAACACTATTTCATGTAAATTTCAGTTAATAAAATTTCTACTTTTTCCAAATTTTATATTCATTATCATTTCACTGATTTTCTTTCATATCCTGGTAAAATCTATTCTGCACCTTGACCTTAATTTTGGACAAAAGAAAGTGACAAAACATAGTAATTAATACACATATGGATGAAATATTAATAAAATGTAACCATGGAAATTATAGCGATGTGGAAATTTCGAGTATGAGTAAATTAACACGAAAATATCCAAATGCAAATATTTATTTACAGATTGTATAGGAAAATTTCCACACAGCGATAAGTTGAAAGAGTCAACAGGCGAGAACTACCACAGGCAGTTTAAACTTTTACAGTATCTGAAACATTGAGAATTTTCTATATATAGATTGGTGACCTGGACCTTAACACAACATTGTAGCGGATGATATATATGACTACTTCCAGCAATGAAAAAGATATGATAACTATGCACCGATCAAAATATTACCCTTGTTTATTATTTTTAAAATGAACAGAAAAAATTACTGACGGTCGGACGAAAGGACGAAGCCATATTGTACTATATTTCATTTGGACGATGGTACACAAAATCAACTTACTTTCTTCGAACTGATCTTCTTTACTCATCTCTGTGGTCGATTGGTCCTCCTAAATGATTCAATGTTAAAGAGAAATTTGATTAATGCAGTAGAATGCTTGCAACACACTACATCACCACTGCAGCCGCAGCCTCAGCAGCAGCAGCAGCAACAACAACAACAGTTTCTAATTAGTATACTGTATACATGTTATTTTTTTACACCAAACGTTACAAGACGTGGCGTGTTCAGATATCAGTAGTTATCATGTTAATCACTATACTATACTATATCATCTATAAGCTATGTGACGTGACATATAATCTCTATACAATCACTATATTATAAACTTGTTATATGAAACTGTATAATCTCTATACAATCACTTTATTGTATTATAAAATCGTTATACTACACCATATACTCTTTATACTGTACTATGCTATCTGGTAAGGTAACATGTAATCTCTATACAATCACTATATTGTATTATAAACTTTTTATACGACACTATATAACCTCTACACAATCACTAAACTGTATTATAAACTTTTTATACGCCACTATATAATCTCTGTACAATCACTATATTCTATTATAAACTTGTTATATGAAACTGTATAATCTCTATACAATCGCTATATGGTATTATGAAATTATTCTTTTTCCATATAATCAATATGCTATACTATTTTATTAATATACCATATCACATCGATTCTCTAATAAGCTATAAATCATTAACCTAACTAACCTGAAGTCTCTATATTGTATTATAAACTTTGTATACGACACTATATAACCTCTACACAATCACTAAACTGTATTATAAACTTTTTATACGACACTATATAATCTCTATACAATCACTAAATTGTATTATAAACTTTGTATACGACACTATATAATCTCTATACAATCACTAAACTGTATTATAAACTTGTTATACGACACTATATAATCTCTATACAATCACTTTATTGTATTATAAAATCGTTATACGATACTATATACTCTTTATACTGTACTATGCTATCTGGTAAGGTAACATGTAATCTCTATACAATCACTATATGGTATTATGAAATTATTCTTTTTCCATATAATCAATATGCTATACTATTTTATTAATATACTATATCACATCGATTCTCTAATAAGCTATAAATCATTAACCTAACTAACCTGAAGTCTCTATATTGTATTATAAACTGTATTGTATAATTACTACAGTGCTATACATAATCACTCGATTGCATTATTATCTCTATACAGTACTACAAATCTATGTTTAATCACTCTACTCTATATAAAGTACGTTGTACTAAGTAATCTCCACAATATACTATGTAATAACTAAAAAAATGACCTGTGTATGTCAAAACCAAAAATGCCAATTACATTGATTGCTTACTCTTGTGTGCAATTAATTGTTGACACAAACAGTAATTAATGCGAACAAATAACAGAAATTTAAAGTGTGCTACCCACCATATTACGAGTATTATGTTTCCTGTAAAGACACGCACTGTCAGTGTTGAGATCCTCTGTGCAAATGTATCGCTTGTCCCCGTATTTTTACGGAGTGTTTACACACCAATGAGATTCGATCTGATGACGTCACATTGAAACCTTATTCGTTAAACAATACCGTATGTGTCTGAACAGTTATAGAAGTTGTTGCTATTTATAGACACGGCCTTTTCATATCGACACCACATATATTATTAAAGATATATTGGTGATTAGTTGGAACAAAAAACATCAAACATTTATGGGTCATTAGAGGCATTCGTCTCCCGACAGTAAAGTGCAGTCAGTTGACGTCATAAACATTGAAATCTGACAAGGGTCACGTGATGGTGGTCGCGTTTAGACCCATAGCGTTTACAAGGGTTAAATAGATGTCAGTTAAACAACTATAGTCAATGACTATGAATTGGCTTAAAAACACGAATGCTGTAAACAAAATATTTCTTTTCCGGCTGACAATACTATCGGGTCGACAATATCAAGGGGGTACTGTTACCTTTAGTACGGGAAGCTTGAGGCATAGGACCATTGGTACCATAAATTAAAAATCTAAATTCGGAATACTTATCTTTTTGTATGCTATCTTTTCCGCAGACAGCGTGCATTTTTTATTGGAAGTTAAATGTACTAACTGCAAGACAACGTGCATAGATTTTCTTAAACAGTGTTTGCATATAAACGACAATCCTGTTGTTTAAATGGTCAACCTTATCAACAACACGCTCCCAGTATACATACTAAATCGGGACAGAAAGGAGATAATTAAGACACTCGTATTACTATATTCTTAATATAATCAATTATGATAAGTATTGTTTATGCAGTATTTAATTATAAACTACAATCCTCTTGTTTGAATAGTCATACTGATCATCAACATGCACCGTGTAAATACTTAATTGGGACATACAAAGAGATAATTAAGACACTCGTATTACTATATTCTTAATATAATCAATTATGATAAGTATTGTTTATGCAGTATTTAATTATAAACGACAATCCTCTTCTTTAAATCGTCAAACTGATCAACAACACACTCCCAGTACATACATAACAGGGCTGTACAAAGAGATAAATATAATACTCGTTACCATACTCTACCTACACAAGTCTCTGACAATACCTTAAGTGTCCTTCAACATGCTTCAACTAATGGCACTATGTTTACCTTAAAAAATCATGTATGCGGTCAAACCCATTTTGGAAAATGTACAATTTTTGCTTTGATTAGTAGATGGTATTGTTTTGGAATACCTGTGGTATCATGCAAGCTTTTTGAAATGAAAATGGTAGTTTGTTTCGTACATAAATAATAAAAATAAAATCTTAAGTCATTTAAAGACGGTGAACTGAATGTCTAGTCAATTTGATGATACCTTTAAAGTGTCATCTAATTGAAATGTCGTAAGCTGGACACGATAGCATGACATTCCGCCTGGTCACATTATACTTAACCACGGACTAAGCTAGTGTTTACAGTGGACTCACAGTCCTTACTGACACTCATTTAATCCTTTCACCACTGTAGACCATAATGGACTCATCCAGATCATTGCATGGTAGAGTTTACCTAAGTTAAATAGGGGTGAAAGGGTTAAAGCTGAACGGCAAAAATAGCAGTACGACCTAGTTTAAGGACTTTGTTTTGTCTCGGTCTGGGATCCAACCCAAAACCTTCTTACCATTCGCGAATGCTCAACATAAAGGCCAAAGCGAGGCATTAGAAAGTAAGACGTCAACAACAGAAAAAAAAAAAAAAAAAAATGTAAACATCCGAAGTGCTCCATTGGGCGTAAAAGAATATGATTGGTGAAATCAGGCTCTGAACTATACATGCAAGCTTAATATATCCTTGATAATCCAGGGTTACGCTCGCTTGCCTGCTAGATTGATACCTATCATTTAACGATTACAGAGGAGTGACAAGCGACTTGAGTCAAAGCCAGTCAATTTTACCGTTACGCGACTGCAATATATTTTTGATGTACATACAAAAATGAAACTAATCTTCTTGCCTCATCCACAGGGTGACCTACACTGAGCCTTTGATTTTGCCATGACATATTCCAAGGGTGCAGGGAACGTTAGTGAGCGTAACATTCAGAGTATCGAGGATGAGCTTAAAGCACTCCCAGAGTTTGTCTACCTATATTGTAATACAGTACACAGGTTTATAAAAAACGCGGTAGTCTAGTGGTAGGACGCCGGGCTCGTGACCGAAGGGTTGCGGGTTCGAGTCACGGCACGGCACTGGGGTGTATCCTTGAGCAAGATACTTTACTCCGCTTGTTCCAGTCTACTCAGCTGTAAATGAGTTCGTGGTTGGGCAGTGCTAGAATTGTTGATGCTAGCTGTGAGCGCCAAAATGACAACAACGGCTGTATGCTCCTTAGGAAGTTGAGAAAGATATTGTCTGGTTTCGAAGGTCCTATAACCACGGATAATAATTTGTGAACTGCTTTGAGACGACCTAGTAGGTTGATATAAAGCGGTATATAAGAACCTCAAATTATTATTAATTAATATTATTATAAAACAGAACATCCTAGATAGAAATGGTATGAACCACAACACCAAATAAGAATATACCAACCATGATGTTTGCTTTTTTTTTTTAACAACCTGTGTTATTTTTAGATTTTAAAATATACATTTAAGGTAATTAATCTTTGTGAAGCATTTTATTATAAGCGACAATCCTGTAGTTTAAATGGCTCCAAAGATCAACCGAACTCCGCTAATGTATATTTTATAAGGAAATACAATGATAATTAAAACACTATATGTTAACCAATGCACGTTTCTGACAATACCTAAATTGTCCTTGAACATGCTTCTACTAACAGCAATTTAAATCTTTCAAGATTATTCATGCGGTTACACTCGTTTTGAGCTGCGCATGGTTAATGAAGTAGTTACATCGTTTTTATTTTGATTAGATATAACGTTTATTTATTTCATAACAATAATGAAACAAGGTATTACAACTTATACTTATCACATGTGTTGGCCTGGATGTTAGCGCGACGGGGTGTGGGGTGTGAGGATGTCTTAAAGTGAGAGGAATTTTGAGAATTTTGAAACGTCGGACAGGTGACTCCATTCCTTTGATTCATACATTTTGTTTTGTTTGGTATACCTGTCCTATCACAAACGCAGTTTGTAAAGAAATGAAAACGGAAGCATGTTTCGTACATTCACAGTGTACATCTGTAAGGTCACTTGAAGACGGCGCCCACGCATGATGGGGGTTAGTTATTAGGGTTTAAAGTCCTATCAACAGCTAAGGTCATATCAAGGACATCGTGATAGGGGAAGTCAAGGCCACCACTTTATTTTGTCATCTCATTGAAATTTAATAACCTGAGTACGGAAGCATGACACCCCACCGGGTCACATTATAACTACACCTTGTTGACCTTCCTTCCAACAGCCATTCAAAGCTAAACGTTTGACGGGCTCTGGCATTGTCTTCGTCTGGTGATAGAACCAGAACCAAAAAAAAATCCTCGCTTGGGTGAACGCTCAACACTGAGGCCGTAGCGAGATGTGCCTAATGAGGCATCTGGCAACGAAAAAGTAGTTGGAAAAATTGAAATGTAAACATCTCAAATGTTGCAATAGGTGCAAAAGACAACTAGGCAAAGACACTAAAGAAACGAAGACACCCCTAAATTCTGTAAGGGGTTCCAATATGATTCGATTTCTGCTGATCATGCTGTGGGTAACAACAGGCATATCCTATTCTCCACCCTCGACCTGCAGGCATACTATGATGTCATTTGATATTGTTATGCGCAAACGACGATTATGTTATGATTGGTTTTGAGGCTCCATGGGATCATTGGAAGGATCAAGAGTAGAACTAAAGTGCTTCGAGATATCGGGCTCTATCGGATCTACAAAAGTTAACACCTACCTGGGTGTATCATGGTATGACGGAATGTGTCCTTGTGTATCTATGAGCGTGAATGAGAGCTTTTTATGATGTTGATGTCGACGACGATGATGATGATGATGATGTAAGTGTGAGTGTCTTTGTCCCCTTGTTTGTAATTGTCATAACTTATAAAATTGGCGTAAATAAAGAGATGAAACAAAGATCTGTCAATCAACAATCTTGTATAAAATGAACAGATCTTAGTAATAACAGACATTGAATTTCGATTGTCGAAAACATGCAGGCGATGCATGTCAATTGGCAGCTTATTATGCTTCTTTTTAATTATATTTTGATCACTTACAACGTTGAACATTTCACCATAAAGCTGTTTCGCCCTTCTATGACTAATCGGTGATGCTTTATGGCCTAAGGGGTGGAGATCCAAATGGTCATAACTACTGTTATAACAGGCGAGGAGATGCACAAGACATTAAAGAAGTACTGATTATTTGAAATAAATAATGAGTATTTATTGATGTACGGGTATGTCCGTTTAATATATTTGGATTGGATAGTGTACACTCTTGCTTCACAACACTGCTGACTTGTGTTTTTCGTGATTGATTACTTAAACACAGTTATTGTTTTATCAGGAAACAATAGCACGTGGAATCAATTATAATCTTAATGAACCATAAACCTGCATAATTTAGGTTAAAAGATGTCCCTGGGTGATAATAACCTCAAAAATGTAACAATGACTATCAAATCATAAGAACGCTCGAGTGTCTACTGGGGTGTCATAAGATTATACCAAATGTATGTGATTTGTCTGACGATCGGTTTTTATCTTTCATCAGTTTAACCGTCTCAGTATAATTTATTTAAATGAATACCTGGTTTCGGTCGTGTGTTTGCAAGGGACCAACCCATTTTTATTTCAACATGTATCACGGGGTTAAAGATTAATTGTCTCTTTGTTTTAATATACGTCTCATTAAATAACAATACATTATACGCTATCTACTAGCACTGTTAACGCTTAAGTTGGTAAATCATGTTCTGTGGACGAATCGATTTGAAAAATATAGTAAGTAGTACGAAATAACAATAACCTATTGTTAAATCTACTATAACGTCGTCTATCTTATCAAAATCTATATCTAGCATTGA